CCCCGCCCCCCCCCCCCCCCTAAGTAGAGGAAAAACGGGCAGAACGAAGGAAAAAAGCTCCGGGGCTAGGGTACGACACGCACTGCGGTCCACGACGTCTCGTCCGGAACGCGTCTGTCGTTTATTCGCTCTGTCATGAGCTACAGGCAGAGCTGATCCGGTTGAGAGACTGAATGGGGAGGAGACGTTGGGCGCCCCTTCACCGTAGGTCCCGGTAATGCGTTACATTGTACCTGGGAAAAAAAAAACGGGTGATATCAGCTTCGTGTGGGCCGCCCCGTCACGCTCCATGCGCGAGCGCGTGCGTGATGTACAGGGAAATACATACCGAACATGTTGTGCATCGATTCCTCGTGGACGCCCCCGGGATGTGGGGGGGGAGGACGCGTTGGATACTCCAATCTGGACATCGTGATGGTCTTCGCCCGCGTAGGCTCCAGCGCAGGTTTAACCTGAGAAGGGGCCATAGAGGATAAAAGGGGATAGGGGGGGGGGCAGATTGCAAGATTGTCGCGACTTAGAGGCCGCACCTTCCGCCGGATCAAGGGCCTGGACACCGAGGAGAGGTTAAGGCGACTGATGTTCGTATCATATACGTCTGGAACACTCACATACGGTCCCCGAGCTCGAGTCCTGGCTCAATCTTCACGACCTCAGCAAGCTTCTTTGGTCACGAGCCGCGTTCCGGATCCTAGGGTACTGCTTTGGTTCATAGATGTCGCTCGTCGGTGGCCTGAAACATGATTCGTTGAGTGTGTTGCTCGTCAACCGGAACATATCGTTGCACTCAATGCATCTAAGAAAGAGCCTGATACGATGTTGTCACCTCGAACGCGGATGGAGCCGTCTTCCCAATATCGTGGCACAGACAGCACCGAATGACAACAGGTCGGAAGGGCACGCCGCAGCATTTCCAAGGTATCGATTTCGCGACGACGGTGCGGGTATTGACATCGACATCATATGAGAAGCATATGTACAGCGTCAGCCAACCCTGGCTCCCGTATATTCAAACGACTTCGTCCACCTTCGACCGATGGATGCAAAATCCCTATCAAACCTCCGTCAGAAACGCAAATGCATAGCGAGGAATGAGAAATGCAGGAGACAGCACGCACAGGTGTGACCCACTCCTTACAACTACACTTCACCCCGGCCCAATCGTAATTCCCCAGCTTCGCACCGCACTTCTTGTTCGGGCACACGATCTTGCCCGCGAGCTGGCCAGACTCGAGGAACGGCTCCATCCACTTCATCTATCATAAAATCACCCGCCCGCATCGCCCCGATCAGAAGAGACGCGGGAGGGGAGATGAAAGCGTGGTAGAACTCACAGGTTCGAGGAAATACCCGCTACACTTCGGATCGGCCAAGATCGGGGGTACGTTCGCGGCCATCTTTTGTTGTAGCTGCTGTTGGTGTTGCTGCTGCGAACCCCCTGCCACACCGCCGCCAGCCTGCATCGGCGTCATCTGCAACCCCGTCGGGCTCCTCAACGCGGCCAACTTGGGGTTCGCCATCAACTCCGCCGCGATGTCCCTCGAACTGCTGAACTGCCTCGCGGTGGTCCCTCCCTGCCCGGCGTCTTGCTGTCGAGGCGGAACGGCTTTCTGCGGCGGAGGCGGCGAAACGGCCTTCGGCGCGCCCTCCGTCTTCGGCGTCGGATTGATCGCCGACATCGTCAACGCCCCAAAGCTCGCGCCAAAACTCGGCTTCCTCCTCCCCAAATCGCTCGAGCGTCTCCTCTCCCGAAGCGCCGTCGGCCGCGCCGGCACGGGCTCCGCATCGTCCAGCTCTTCCTCCTCGATCACCGCCCCGTCCTCCTCTCCCCCGCCCTCACCCGTGGCGGCCTCGAGCGCCGTGATCGAGTCCGACATCTGCCGGCCGACGCCCGCGCCCGCGCTCGGGTCGAGCGTCAGAGGCGACGCGCGGATGGGGCGGGTCGACGATGAGAGGGAGCCGCGCGAGTCGAGGCGCGAGCGGAAGCCTGGCGACGAGGGGTGCGGTTGGGGTGAAGGTTGAGGCTGGGAGGGCGAGGCGGGCGAGGCGGTGCTGCTCCCCGGCTCGTCGTCCTCGTCGTCCACCACCGCGTCCTCCTCCGCTTCGAGCGCCGACATGGAGAGGCCCGTGAGCCCGCCGCCGCCCTCTCTGCCGAGTTGGGAGGGCCGGCGGGGCCGCGTGTCGGCGTACGAGCTCGACCCGAGCCGCGGGCGGGGTTGCTGCGCGAGGCCGAAAGACGGCCGGCGGTCGGAGGTGGCCGATTGGCGGCGCGAGGCGGCGGGCGAGAGCGCGTAGGCGGAGGCGGGCGTTGGTGGGCCGAGCTGGCCGTGGTCGAGCATGTGTTCGCGCGTGGCGAGCTCTTGCCTGTGCTATACGCGTCAGAACCGGGGCCGATGCGTGTCGTATGGTGAGGAAGGGATAGTACTGACCTGCACATCTTGCACCGGATGCGGCGCTTGTGTGGGATCGGCGTGGGAGGGCCGGAGTCGCCTGGCGTGCGGGGGAACTTGGCGAACATGTCGGTGGAGGCATGGCCTTCGCCGTCTGCACACTTCCATCGTCAGTCGAAGAGAACAATATGGTATGAGGAGGGTGAAGGGGAGCACGCACTGAGCATCTCGCCTACGGCGCGTTCTAGGTAGTACATCCGCATCGTCTTGTCCTTGCGGGTGATCTTGAACGAGGCGGCGTAGAAGACCTCGAGTTGGTACAGAAATCCGTCGTTCGGTCTGTGAAGATGGCACATGTTGGAATGCGTGTCCCCGTCCTCTTAGGAGGGGCGCGCGGACTGAGGGTGGAGGGAGAAGGAGGGCTCACTGCTCACTGGACGATGGGCCGCGCCTGCTTCAGCTGGGCAAGCGCGGTGGTAGCGTCGATGTTTTGGGAGTACATCAGGTAGGCGGCGACGATTGTGGCACTTCGACCTAAAAATAGAGCGCATATGTTAAAAACGAGTTTTGTGGTGGTCGTCGTGATAGTGGTACGTACTCATGCCGGCTTGGCAGTGGACGAGCACGCCGCGGCCTTTCTCAAGCTCGGCTTGAATGAAGGAGATCGCGGGGACGAGGTGCGGGAGGATATCGGCTTCTTCTTCGTCGTCGACCGCGATCTGCTGGTGTATGAACGTCTATAAAGGACAGTTCATTGCCGTCAGCGTCCAATGATGGGATGGGCGGTTGGATGTGCTCACTGGGTGGATAGAGACCCGCCCCCGCATCGCGGAGAGGATGCTGTGGATGTTCTTCGACCTGAGAGCCTCAGCGTCCGACGCGCTTTGGATGTCGCCGATCCAGAGGCCAGGTACGACCTCGTTCATGTGCGCATACTCGACGTCGTCGCTGTCATCCCACTGCTCGTCGCTCGTCATCGTCGTAGAGCAGCTGCTTGATCAAGCAAGAAGGGTGTGTTTTCCTCGGAGTGTATGGATGATTGTCAAAGCAAGAGTTGTCGGAGATGGACTTGGGGAAATCGGAGTGCGATCACTGCAATTGCGCGTGCGGTGACGCCTTCGGATTAAATGTAAAAATAAAGATAATGTGCATTTCTCACGACTGCCACGTGTCCCGAACTCCGACCGCATCGGCTTATTCTCAGCGCTCCCCTGTAGGTTGCTCGTCCTCGCCAGGTATTCCGCACGATCCAAGCTAGACAAAGAATAGACTCCGACGAAACATGCTCTCATTGCGGTCGTGCTTGGGAATTCCAATTGCGAAAAGCTGTCGTCTCGCGCCTTTCATCGACAATGACCGTATTCGGCTAGTCGTCCTGTCAGGTCGATCGCAACATCATTTTATACTCTTCATCCCCTTTTCGTCCTCACTTTTCTGTGAAAAAAGTGCAAGGCCCCAATAATGCGGTCCAGAACAATCCGCACGAGGCTAATCAAGGAAGCCGCTGGGCTCCTCTCTCTTGTCCCTCGTCTTCGAGCCTTGGGCTTTCCATAGAGCCATAGACTTCAGCACCACCCTCACACTCGTTCTTTCAAGACCATGAAGTTCTTCGCCGCCCTCCTCGCTCTCGGACCGGCCCTTGCTGGCGTGAACGCTCTCGCGCCGACGCGCACGTCTACCCTCGCCTCGCGCGACGGCCTCTCGTTCAACCCTCCGCTGTCGGTCGTGGAAGCCGCCGCTGCCTCAACGCGTGACGAGGTGCTCCCGCGCACCAATGCCGAGCGCCTCGCGCGTGGTCTGCCTCTGAAAAAGCCGCATCGTCGTTCGCCAAGTCCGTCTTACCAAGGTCTGTTTCTTCATACCATTCGCCCTCTCCATTCTTCCCCATCTACCCTCCGTACCCCTGACGTTGACGCTCACATACGTATCCAGCTAAACGCGCCACGGCCTCGAGCGTGGCCTACACCGGCGTCGTCCGCGTCGTCGAACCGAACAACAACAACGCCGTGCGCGGCTATCTCGCCGCCACCCCCACCTCCTTCGGCGAGTACGGCGGCACGACGACCGACATCTCTTCGGCGCTCACCATCACGTTTACCACCTCCGACCCGTCCTCGCCGTTCGACATCTCCATCTCCGTGCGTACCCTAATCACCCAGCGCACACGTCAGCGACGTCGTACTAACGCATGCTCTTGCTCCGATCCTCTCTGCCTCTGCGCTTTATGTAGGGTACATACCCGGACCTAGGCTTCACCACCGGCTTCGCTAATACGGACTTCAACTTCGGCCCGGGCGCGTACAACTACGCCTACCTCACGGGCGTCTCCGGCTCTCCCGCCGGCTCGTCCGCCACCATCCAGCCCAACTCGTACTCGGCCGTCGCCGGCATTACGGAGGGTACCGAGAGCGCGGTATGGACTTGGGACAGCGCGAGCGGGGCGCTCACCCCGCGCTGGGTCAACACCGACGGAAGTGCGTGAATCTTTCTCCTGTCACGGTGAACGTGCTTTATCTTCGTTCTGTTCTGAAATGAACTGGTGCGGTGGTTGACCCCGATTCCTCTCCCTAGGCACACCGGCCGTGACGCTCCTGTACGTCCCCAGCGCCAACGCCGTAGCGATCACGGGCGACCCCGCCGCATTCAACGCCAACTTCGGCACCTCCACCGTCGTGGTACGTTGACCGCTCCTCTCGTCGTATCCTCGTCTCTCGGCTCAAACGGTGTCTTGGCAGGCGTTCGAGTTTGTTCAGGCTTAGATGCGACCTTAAATAGCGGGAACTGCATGGGTTTTCTCGTCTTGTTCTCCTCCGCCGCTGTAGAGCCTTCCGGTGCGCTGTTGTTATGTTACTGTACTTGCTCAATTTATCTTGTGGTTTGCATCGGCTTGATGATCAACGCTTTAGACACCTCGGGGCCGAAACCTCCGAAGGCTGAAAGTGACAAGTATGACGTCATTACCTTCACCCGGCAATCCGCGCAAGAAATTCACACGGAACGCCACCCACGGCCTTTTCTGCCCCAGTCTGAAGTTCTTCGCAGGTTCTAGAGACAGGGACGTTCGCGGAAGGACCACGTCAACACCGTTCGACATTTGCTTCTGGCGCAAAGGCTAAACGTTTCACTCACTTCTAAACTCCTTCTTCGATCTTGGCCTCTTCGATCTTGGCCTTCGTCCGGGCAGCAACACGCGTGACCGTCGTGTTGCGAGACAGGGAAGGCCTCTTTTTTGTCCCTCCACCTTTGGTGCATGCGCCTCCTCCGACGCGTAGGACGAGCAAGAAGACCGCTACCGTCTGCGTGCCGCGAGACAGGAGATATAGCCGCTGCGTTCAGTCGATACTCCTGGAATTGGGGAACGAACGACGAAAAGGTTGAGACTTTACTCCAACATAGCATTCATCTGCCTCGGAGGGGGGGGGCAATGGATGACTGGTACATGCGCCCATTGCGAGACAGGGATGCTCTGGTTCTGTATCGTCTCTATCAAGCGCATGACGCGCTCACCGCTCTGCTCCTTTCCCGGGAATCGCGTACTTAAACCCCCGCACGCACCCTACCGAATCACCCGTCGGCTCGTTCGATTCATCTTGACTCGAACCAAGACATGAAGTTCCTCGCCGCGCTCTCCCTCCTCGTCGTCGGCGCGAGTGCTATCGCTGTCGTGCCCTCGCGCACGCGCACCGTCGACCTCGGCAAGCGCAACGTCGCCGCGATCAATCCTCCCAAGGCGGAGCTCAAGTCGAACGTGCCACGCGAGGCGCTCCCGCGTACCAACGCCGAGCGCCTTGCGCGGGGTCTCCCGCTCAAGAAACCCCGCCGCGCTCGTGCTCTGCGCCCTGCCCGCGTCGAAAGTTTGTAGTCTCCCCTCCGTCCCATTCGATCGCACAATTTATACTTGGATGTTCTCGTAGCCGCGAAGCGCCAGACGACGTCGTCCACGCCCACGACGTACTCGGGCGTGCTCCAGGTCGTGGACTACGACACCGAGGGCACCCCGCTCGGTTACGTCGGCGCAACGCCTAACGACTTCGGCGAGTACGGCGTTGTCGACGACGTCGACGACGCGCTTCAGGTCTCCTTCACCACCTCGGACGTCACCGTACCGTTCGACATCTCCGTCACCGTGTGTTTTGTCTCTCGCCGTCAACTGATCGTCCGCTGACTCGCATCGCGCCGCAATCGTCACAGGGTACCACCTACCCGTTCCTAGGCGGCACGGTCAGCTCGGCCAGCGACAACGACGATCTGTCCTACCCCTCGTCCAATTACGCCTACCTCACCAACGTCGACGACGTCGACGCCGGCTCGTCCGCCACCAGCGTGTCCAACAGCTACACCGACATGACCGGGCTCGAAGAGGACTCGGAGAGCGCGATCTGGACCTACGTCACCGCGACGAACCTGCTCGCCCCGCAGTGGGTCAACACCGACGGCAGTGAGCGCTTGGTCCCCCGTTCGTATCGCTCCTCGTTTGCTGACACAAGGCCGCACGATATAGCGCTCCAGCCCCTGGAGTTCATGTACCTGTCGGACGACAACGCGCTCGTACTTACTGGCGACACCGACACGTTCGTGAACACCTACGGAGCCGCGGCCAACGTCGTACGTGTTTTCTTCCCTTCCACACCGCGCACTGAGGCTGACGACTTACTTATGCGCAGGGGCTCGCTCTCGTCACGAGCGATGGCACAGCTCCTTGATTGGCTCGCAGATGGTACTGCATCCGATCTCCATGTTCACATAGTTATACGGACTCCGAGCTTATGAGTTGGGACATGATCCCTATGCCACCGTGCATGGACTCTTATGCATCTTCTTAATCTGGCCCCGCTAGAATCGTCATATGCTCGAAAAATAGTATACTTGTACACGAAATTTTCTTGAATTCATCATGGACTGTTGTAGCTCGACAAAATACGAACACATATACTGCCCTGCTGAGACATACGAGTTGTACATCTAGTACTTATGATTCGGAGACCGTCATTCACTGGCGTCTTCTTTTGCGGTCTCAGAAGACCGTTGGATCGATCCGTAAGGCGTCATTGCTTCATGAATTGCGACTACATTAACCGAAGGGGCGCGTCGAGTCTCGAAAAGGAAGGAGCGCGTTCCTTCCGGATACGGCTTGTCCGCTCCGAGCTAAATTCCTCCTCCTTCTCCCCGATACGACGTGTTCTCATTCCAGCCGAATGAACCCTTGCCGCTGCCCTCCAGAGCTCAAGCACTCATGACCGGCACTTTGGGAGCACTAGGAGACGGGAAGAACTCGGCCCCGCGATTTTCACTCAGAGTCAAAACCGACGCACACGACGAGGTCACTCGCCATTTCACTCCCGGAGAATATGACATACGGGATCACTGAGACACAGAGAAGCGCTTTTCACCTTCCCAATCGACCAATCGTAAAGGGTCTGGTATGTCCAAAACATACCAGCGTACCGGTGTCTCGACCAGGACTATCTTCTCGCCTCCCCTCCTGAATCGCGAAGAGACTCAACGACCCGGCAGTTCAACGCGGTTTCACTCAGGAAAACGCGTACTTAACCATCGTCTCCTCCATGACCTCCAACTCACCTCCCGTTGGAAGTACACCTCCTGAAGATGAAGTTCCTCGCTGCGATCTCCCTCCTCGCCGCCGTCGCCATCACGGGCACGCAAGCGCAGTCGCTCAATCCGCCCGCACCGACGGACACCGCCAAACGCGCCGCGGTCGACCTCGGCCCACGCGGCGTCTCTCTCAACCCGCCCAAGTCGGCGCTGAGGCCGCTCCCGCCGCGCCTCCCCCTCCCGCACACGAACGCCGAGCGCCTCGCGCGCGGGCTCCCGCTGAAGAAGCCGCGCCGCGCCTCCCGCACGTCTCGTGCCTCTCGTGTTCAAAGTATGTCTATCTTTTCACGAACCCTTCAGTATGTACCACGTGTCGCTGATCGCATCGTTTTTATAGCCGCGAAGCGTCAGACCACGTCGGCCACCCCCGTTCGGTATCACGGCGCGCTGCGGGTCATCGACCTCGACAACGACGGCAGCTCGCTCGGCTATGTGAGCTCGACGACGAACGACTTCGGCGAGTACAGCGTCGTGGACGACATTGACGATGCGCTCGACGTGACCTTCACCACCGCGGACCCCACCACGCCCTTCGACCTCTCCATCGACGTGCGTGTTTTCTGTCCCTCATTTCCTCCCTCATTTCTCACCTTTGGATGATGCATTTTAGGGCACGTACCCTTTCCTCGGCGCGACCGTGAGCTACAACAGCGACGATAACGATCTCTCGACCGGCTCGGCCAACTTCGCGTACCTCACCGGCGTCGAGGAAGTCGCTCCAGGCTCCCCCGCCGTCGACGTCGCCAACTCGTTCTCGGACGCGAGCGGCGATGAAGAGTCGTCGGAGAGCGCGATCTGGACGTACGACACCGACAGCGCCCTGCTCGCCGCGCAGTGGATCAACACTAACGACGGTTAGCGTCCCTCCCTCCCCCTCCTCCTTGCCGATTCCGTGCGCTGATGCCGCTCGTACCTAGCCGAGATCCAAGTCGACCAGCCCCCGACCGTGCTCGCCTACTCCACGGACGAGGACGCGATCGTCCTCACCGGCGACCTCGACAGCTTCATCAGCACCTACGGCGTCGCCTTCCAGATCGTACGTTCACCCTCCTGTTACCACTTCTATCGGCATTACACCACCCTTCGAACCTGTCCGAACCCTCACTCACCAACCTCCCTGTCCCTCTGTCACAGGCGTTCCAATTCATCCCGATTGATGATACCACCACCCCGTCTTCGTCGCCTCTCACGGATGCCGACTCCTCCGTGCTCGGTGTCCACATCGTAGTCTAAAAAGCGCACGAGCATTTCTTTGATACCCGACGAGGCCAACAAAACAGGCTGCAGGAGCAAGACCTCATCTTTCCTTCCGTCTTTGCTCTTCCGAGTTTTCACATTAGAAGCATGTTTCTGGGTGCTGCCGGGATCGTTCTGGCCGACCAACAATACACGGCGTTTGTGTATGATTACTCCTGTGTTCGGCAATTCAATTCCTTGACAGGACAAAATCAATATCAGGGCTCCGTAGCCACCTCTTTTCTGTCCACATCGTGAACCGTATAGCATCCTACACTACTTCATATACTTGCAGGCTTGAAAATCACCTGGGTGAGTACTTCTTCAACGTCGATGTTGAGCTACGCCTTCAACCTCGAAAAGGAAAAGGGGGCCTCCTTCCATATCGAGGGGGCCTCGGAAAAGGGGGGCCTCCTTCCATATCGAGCGGCGGCGGGACCGAGACGCCGAACTCAATATATCTCTTATCAATTTTCTGACATTTTCATTCTCAGATACCCCAGAACGTCAGTGTGAGAGGCTAATATTGTTGCCAAGGCCCAACATATTCTACGCCATGCTCGCGTTGGCTCTTTTCTCTCGCCTCGACGCTCTCTCCTTCGCTGCGTAGACTCTAGACCTATAGACTACGCTACCATCACCACCTAACCGTCCACCCACACTCGTTTTACACACAAGTACAAGAATGAAGTTCCTTGCCGCCCTCTCTCTCTTTGCTCTTGCCCCTGCTCTCGCGGGCGCCGTCGCCCCCACGCGCACCGTCAACATCGCTGCGCGCGACGGCCTCTCGCTCAACCCCCCTGCGTCGGTCATCGCCGCGCACGCCAATGGCGGCGCAGCGAAGCGCGAGGTGCTCCCTCGCAGCAACGCCGAGCGCCTCGCGCGTGGCCTGCCCCTCAAGAAGCCGCGCCACGTCTCGCGCCCCAAGCGTGCGTCCCCGTCCGAACGTACGTCCCCCCTCTCTTTCAATCCTAGCCGTCCCTCGTCTTTATCTGAAATGTATGGGTAGCGGCCAAGCGTTCCACGCCCTCGGGCACTCCCGTGTCGTACACCGGCGCGATCCAGGTCATAGACATCGACGGCGGTGCGATTGTTCTTGGGTATGTGAGCGCCACGCTCAACGATTTCGGAGAGTACGGCGTCACGTCCGACCCGGCCGATGCGCTCGCCATCTCGTTCACGACCACGGACCCGTCCTCTCCGTTCGACATCTCGATTTCCGTACGTGCCATCTTTTTCTGCCCATCTGCTTCCCGCCGTCCTCTGACACCCCCCGCATAACAGGGCACTTTCCCGTACCTCGGCGCTATCGCCGGCTTTGCCTCCACCTCGGACGACTTCTTCTCCGGCTCCTACAACTACGCCTACCTCGGGAGTGTCGAAGGCTCTCCCGCCGGCTCCCCCGCGAGGGACGCCCCCAACTCGTACAGTGATGCTACGGGGCTCCACCCGGACACGGAGAGCGCGATTTGGACCTACGCGTCGTCCAATGGCCTGTTCGATGCGCAGTGGACCAACACCGATTTCAGTACGTCCAGCCCTCCGCGTTGTCCCTCCCTTCAATTCTGACAATCTTGACGTTTGCAGGCGAGACCGAGGCGTCGCTCGTATACGTGGACAGCGACGACGTCATCATCCTCACGGGGGACGTGGACGCTTTCAACGCCGCCTTTGGCGGTAACTATCACCGTGTCGTATGTCTCTCCCATCTTCCTTTTCCAGTGATCGATGCTCATCCCAATATCGTAAGGCGCTGCGGGCTGTTCAGATCGCCAACTGAGCTGATCACTGGACTCCATGCTATTCTACATTGTCCGTGCTTCTTCACTTAGGCTCCTTGCTTGTTTGTAATTGCCGCCCCTTGTCTACCCCTGCTCTCAAGCGCTGTTCGCTCGATCCGCTAGCTGTACGTATAACTCTCGCTGAGTTTCGTAGAACTGCTATATGTGCGCTATGTACATGCGAATGTGATCGTACCAGCCTTGCGTCGCTCTCGCCTCGATCGCGGTACTGTACGAACCATACAACGAATGGCAGCTAACCCTTTCCGCTCTTCGTCAGACATGATCAGCCCTTGGCGATCCTGTGCACGATCATGAACGGAGGCTCTTCAGCAGAGGAATAAACGACCAAGTTCCTTGATTTCTGTACGTACGCTTGGAGGCCGGCCATCGACCCGTTGAACTCGTCTTGGTCGCCCGGATTCGTCCCGGAATCGGCGTACTGCCAGAAGGTGGCGTAACTCCAGCCCGCGGGGGTGGTACCGATGCTCGACGCGAAGTGAGCAAGCCAGAGCGGGTTCGTCGAGCCGAAGGCGGCACTGTTGCCGGTGCAGGTCGTCCACCAGTCGGTGGTGGTGTAGATCACGGGGTATCTGGTGTAGATGCGGTGTCAGCTTGGACGTAAGGCGACGACAGGGAAAAGAGGAGGAGGAAGACATACACCCCGGTCTTTGAGTGGTAGGTATTGCTGAAATCTTTGATCCAGGACACCATCGCGGAAGCGGACAGACCGTAGCACTCGGCACCGCTAGGATTATCTATATCGCGAGCGCTGATATCAGGTTGTGCGCACCAGACCGATACAGAAAACTGACATTCGATATCTAGTGCTCCCGGGAGGGTAATGCCGTCGCTGCTCCACCCACCGCCATGGGCGAGAAAATAAGTCGCCTGCGTCGCGCCCGAGGACGAGTCCGGGTGCGCAAAGTGATATGCGCCGCGGATGAGTGCGGCGTTCGTCGCGCCCGTGTACTGGCTGGAAAAATAGGCGTTCGTGTAGGCTAATGGCCGGTATTAAAACATCCTTCGGAACGAAGATCGAGGAAGATCGAAGGGGATAGAACGTACTGGTGCCCTCTGTGGCCTTGATGTAGGCGAATGAGACGCCGTTCGCTTTGACCGTTGCCCAGTCGACGCTAGGCTGGTAGGCGGAAACGTCGATGCCCTTCGGGTTGGCACGCTTGTCGAGCACAGCGCCGAGGACGCTCGAAACGGCAGTTGCAGACGAGAGCAGAGACAAGAAGAGCTTCATCCTGTTCGATGAGACTTCTACCTCGGCACAACTCCATACTCGCGTTCCATGGTCAATTTTATACGTCGAGGAAGTGGCGAAGAGAAGCCGCCAGTGACGGCTCTGGAGTCATGTGGCGGAGGAGACGCACATGCAACACCGAGCATCGTGCCATAGCGACATATGAGCTTTTCGAATGCCGCCCCAAGTGTCACCCAGTCGGTCGTCGAGCGGAAGGTGGAGTAGAGTGGTCCCTACGGCATAAGGAGACGGGGTATTTGTTAAAGAACGCCAGCGTGGGAGGTACTGAGCCTGCGACCGCAAGGTACCGGCTATGCGCCGCCTTCGAATCCCCTCGAATTTGACTGGAGGGTGACCAAGAATAGGCGTTAAAGGAGCCGTTTGACAGATGCATCAGAGAGGCGCGCGGAGAGGCGTCAGATAACCCTTTTCGACCGTAGCCTTCGAGCAGTACGGTATCGTCCATCGATACGTTGCGCTAAGGTGTAAGTATTCTTACGTCTCATAGTGTCAGGTTCGCGAATGTGTTGCTCGCCGCTCGCGATTCTAGATCCATTCCCTTCGACCCGCAAAGCAGCAGGGAGTCGCTGGACACGATATCGATGTGAATCGAGGTTGTGAGATCCGCATTTATCCGAGCCTTTTTCGTGTGGCGTGCGAGCTATATCCTCAAGACTACTGAGATCCATCGGATCCATCCAGCGTTCTCTCGTTCGAAACTGACCGCAGCCTTGCAGCTAAACTCAGAACGATAGACACTGACGACAACGCTCATTAGGCAAGCCGACGCATGCCGCTGACGAAAAGAAGCCGACCTGTGGGGCGTGTACGGGGGTCCGATAGTGCTGCTGTGCGATGCTGCAGTATCGTGAAGTCGAGAAAGCATGGTATGTTGATGCGCTACACATATCCGGAGTGCCTAAACCATCCCTCCGCATTCTCTGGGGATCCAGCCTCGAATACGGCCTCCCAAATAACACGATACGGATCGCAAGCATGGTCGCCCGCAAGCTCAGCTCGGACAACATCCAGATTACGCCGTAATGAGGCCTTCATCGCGGAAAAGAACTCTTCGATTGGGTTGTAGTCAGGCGAGTAAGGGGGTAAGAACTCGATGCGCATACCACTACACTCTAGTAAGGCCCTGTGTAGCGGGAACAAGGCTGACCCACTTACCGTGCTTCAACTAAGTCTCTGAGAGCCTCAGACTTGTGGATGGACGCGTTGTCCATCACGATTACTGACTTCGGGTTAGGGAACGGCTCCATTTCATCAAGGAGACCACGGATGAACTCGTTGAAGAGAGCGGCAGTGTATGAGCGCTCTTGAACATCAAGATGGAGTATGCCCCCGAGCCAGAGAGCAGGTAGAATCGAATACCTCCGGCCACGAATGAACCAGTCGCTCCGTCGGGCTCTGTGACCGGACGGTGCCCATCCCTTTCGGCGCATCACAGTGCGCTTGTTGAATGCCGATTCGTCAACAAATACAAGCTGCTCCGCGTGGTAGTGCTGCGCCATGCGTATTTGATACATTGCGCGATGTTCTTCGTTTCGCTCTATCGCTGTTCGAGAGATCTGTACAATGCCAGGTAAGAGGGTGGTACAATGGAGGCAATGATTGACTTACACCCTTGCATGTCCATCCTCTATGCTTGAGAGTCCGGGATATGGTGTCAGTGGATACAGACACTTGGCGTAGCTCAAACAATTCGTGTTGCAGTTCTTCGAGATACATGTCCGGTTGACGCTCTAGGCAACCTTCGATGAACTGGCATTTTTGTGAGCAATGGACATATCAAGTATCAGCACCTACCGCGCAGTCCAATCCATTCAAGATACGAGGTCTACCAGCTTGAAAAGGCTTGTTTTCCACCTTGCCCGTGTTACATGCCAACGACCACACTCGGAAAACCGTCCTCCGACTGCATTGTGTGATTTCCGCGACCTTCTCTGGTTTATAGCCTCGCGAGACGAGGCTGACTATGAGCTCTTTTATGTCTGAAGAAATGTGTCGACGATTGCCAGGCATATCGGTACTGTAATTTTACGACCTTAGGTTCGTCCCCTGTCCCCTGGCAACCTGAACTGAACCTAATTTCCCGTGTTGTCCCCTGTCCCGCCACCAATATCCAGGCCTTGAACTGACCGTGGGAATTGTATTTCCTACTGTGAGAATACTGCACACTGACTACAGTCAGTTTGCGAACTTCCCACGGGCCCGAACTTGCAGCTGTCCCCTGTCCCCCCGAGGGCGGACCGAACCTAAGGTCGTAAAATTACAGTAGTACAGAACCACGAAACACGAACAAGCCAACGGCGACATCGATGTCATGTGGAGCCAGGGGACCCCTACCTCTACTCGGCATGCACCGGCTTGCTGAACGCGTGTTGGCGCCAGTGTCTATCGTTCTGAGTTTAGCTGTGAAAGATGGTCCCCAGATTAACTATGCAGCATGACCGCTAGCTCGTTGCATGACGTACGTGTACGTGATGCGGCCCGACTTGACGGAGCTCTAGTCGTTCTCACTGCTCATGATGCCCCGGTCCCCCAGACGATTACACGCACTTGTTAGACGTACTTCCAGGGGACAGGTCGGCCCGCATGATGGATCTGTAGCGTAACATGGGGCATATCCAGTGCATATCTGTGACGAGTTCGCTGTTCTTCGCGCTCGCCCACCACCCTGCTCGAGCTTGAGGAAGGCCATTGCCTGTCGTGGCCCTGTCATCTCGAAGACTACGAGGATGAAAGATCCTTGGAAGGCCCTCGAGAACGAATGAATATTTTGTTTGATCTGCTGCAAAGCATGGAGCATATATGTATGGGTCTTCATGCTCCTTGGTTGCAGGTTGGCCACAGGCTTTGACCCAAGTCTGCCTCCTCTGGCGTGATATTATCTTCGCCACTGTGGCATGTGCGGCAGTCCCTGTTTAGGGCCCAGGCGCGGTGAGGTTACATACCCAGCTCTCTGCAATGTTCTCAAGCTCTCCGCGATTCCGAACCTGGCTCTAGCCCTTGCTCAAAATCCTCGTGCTCTGACTGCGCCACACTCTCGGGCATGGCTTGGCAACTCTTTGCATCGCACTGTGATGTGTTGCCTGAATCGACCCTCTCGATTTACTCGAACTCCCCGATAGTGACCGTTCATTGGGGTGGACCGACCCCTTGGTGAAGCCACTCGATTACCTTCTACAGGGACGACGGTGTGTGGTGTCCTGCCTAGCTTCCACAGCATCGCTACCTTCCTCTCGCGATCTAGTATCATGGCCTTAGCCTTGGAGGGGGGTACGAGCGCTGGTACGACCGGGACATGGGAATGCGGGACTTTTCCATGGATTGGTCCTCGGTTCGCGAGCTACACGTCAAGAATCCATGAGTCGTGATGCCATTCTTCGATACGTGCTGCGCCGAGATAACGATGCGTTGCCAGCTCAAAAACGGGGAAGGCTAACCGGTCTTTTGTTCGTTAACCTTGAGGTTTTGCATGGGCCTCTCGAAAAAAGGATTGAGCGTGCTGAAGCGCGCCGTTCCAGAGATGGTTGTGACTGAGGAATCATCGTACTCTTCCACTTACCAGAGGCGGGCTAGCCTTCGTCGGACTCAATCACGTAGGCTTATCAGCAGTAGCTTCCGCGTGCTCTTGCTATTCGCAATCAAGACACACGTGGCGACAAGTCTGCCCATAGTTGGTGTGCGGTGCGGGTAAATACTCGTGAACGAACTCGTAGCGCGACATTTGAGAAGGTCACAATCGCGGTAAACCTGCATTCTTCACCTGCATAAGGTTTGAATATATAGAAAACTAACGAGTTCGATGTCGTGACGCTCGTTCGCGTTATATTTGAGTCATGATTTGTTATCCCTACGTCGGTGTCTGAACAAATTCCCGCAGATTATCTCGCCTCGGATGGAACTTGGCGAAGAACGGCAGCGGGTGCACGTTCGCACTGTCTGTCATCGCCATCGAATCGATAGGCCTGCATGGATCCTCGCTGATAGTGAACGACCATAGGAGCATCGCAGCGGTGATGAACACGGATCTGCCAGAACACGTCGCGTGAGTCAGCACGGACATGTCGCATACCAAAGTCTATACGCGAGCACCTGTTAGCAATATGTTGCCCAGGACAGACCCTGCGGTACATCAGGACGAAACACGTGCAACAGAGGGACGGAACACAGGACTTACCTCCTCCCGAACCCGAATGTGAAGATTCTGGCGTCGCTCAATGACGGCTCTCCGTTCGTGAACCACCGCTGCGGATCGAACGTATCCGGATTTTTGAACATGTCGGGGTCGTGCGCGATGCTCCTAGCATCCGATAGCAGTGAGTACGTTGGCGTTTAATCGCACATGTTCTATTCACCAGTGATTTCCTATGACCGTTGCCCCAGCAGGTATACGGTATCGATTCTAACGAGAGTTTAATTCAGTCACGTTCGACTACACCAGAGAATCCCTACCCAAATTATGTCTTCCGTCGCCCGATGTGCAAAACCTCGACATGTTTTCTGTGAGTTCCTTCCATGTGACCATGCAGCACATTTACTCACCTCCTATACTAACTGGGCGCCATCGAAGTACCTCCATGATGAAGGCCCTCAACCGAGGCAGCGAATCTTCATCGCTGAAGTCCGGGACTAGGGTATACCAAGTGAGTAATGATGTGATAATCTAGTATAATCTGGTTTGGCTCACTCCTGTCGGGACCTACCACAGAATCGATCTCTGACTGCACACAGGCCTGGGCATCCGGATGAAGCGCTGCAGCCATTATGACAAAGCTGATAGCAGCCGCCGTCTACAGGTGTGGTCATGATACTGGACGAAACCTGTCCTCGTTGGAAAACCAAGGATCAGCTTACCGTGTCCGAGCCGGCTCCGAACATACCGCCTGCCAGATAGGCGAGTTCATTATCAGACAGCTGATAGTTTCGCTGGTTCTCCATCAAGTACGTGACGAAACACGGTTGTCCTTCGCCTCGAGTCTAATGGATGCAACAAAGCTGAACTACACGCGTCAGACGACGCACCGCTGCCTGCTTACCATCTTCTGTCGCACATTCTGTGCCTGCCCCCAGAAAAGTTCCATTTCCTCGCGATGCCATGCCTTCAATTGGCGCAGATATCCGGGTACGTACCGAAGGGCTGGGTAGCTGTCGACCAGGTAGCGCCCTGGTGTTACTGCTTGGCCGATACGTGAGAGGCACCTTGTACAAGAAGCGTCAGAATGACCCCTATGTCGTCTTAATGAAATCACAACCCACCGTATCACGCGCTGTACTTCAGGGTCTGAGTAGGATGTGGGAGTCGTCTTGCCATACGTGATGGTCATCACAACCGACGCAGCATACCTTGCAGAAACTCAATGCGGGCTATCCTTTAATCACTAACAGTAGGTTAGCACATACCTGCGCGCGTGGTTGATATGGTCATCGGGCCGCTGCATTATATCCAAAACTAGGTTCTTCGCATTTTCAAACTGGATCGGCGAGTACGCTGCGGACGTGCCGTACTGCATGTGTGTGTGCAGCGCACGCCGTATCTTGCGAAGCCTGTCACCTGCACGGGTAAGCAGAGGGCGCATACCGCCAGATAGCACTTCGCCTGCTGCAACGGTGCGTGGGCGGTCAGATAGGACAGCGCCATGCTTCTCCATTATTTCCACCGCAGCCTGATTTGTTCGAGAGAATGTGACTACACGGAATGGTATCCAGCTCAGCTGGCGTACCTGGTAGCGCCCCACTACGACGACGACTTGACTTCCGTGACGATAGGAGAACACGGGTCCATAAATCTCCGTCCATTCGGCAAACTGACGCCATAAGCTGCATATCGTTCAAACCCCTGACGCAGTGTTACTGAATGAGGAGCACTCACCCTGCTGGATTTGGCCTCAAGCCGTACAACCAGTGTCCGATAGGTCCTGGAGGTAGAGCTAAGGCTTGCGCTCGCTGAGTTCTAGCCCACTTTAGCGCCACTACGAAGACACCAAACGAGAAGACGACGATCCAGAGGCGTAAAAGACCACTGTCGAAATGCACAATCATTCCAGTCCAGCGAGATATTGTTTCGTGGTAGAGCCTAGCGGGGGAGGGATAGAGAAGATGATAAGAAATCACGCAGCGGCGAACGCTAATGTCGACGGGTCACTTGCTTGCCACCACGAGCAACGAACACGAACGTACTCCACGCGTCTTAATTATGTAATTGCCGAGAAGGTTGGAAAAGGCCCGCTGCAGTCCTGCATCGAGCGAAACAGAAGACGGACTGCATGATGGACTGCATGATGGACTTCTGGGACTGCTATTCAGTACTGCATATGGAGGTCAACCTAGCCTAACGCCTCTTCGCTCACATCCAACCTCCATTTGAATACGCCACAGAGCAGATGCCGATCAAGCCGCGAGCAGTGCCGGCCCAAGCCAATTGATTGGACGCAACCTGCGGCAATCGCTGCGCCTACTTCCCAGCTTTGCCCCCACCTGAGCTTGCTCAGTCCGTCGTATTTATCCCATTTGGCATTGGGACTGCTTTACGAATGGATACAACATGACTGTACCACCCTTTGAGCTACCGTGGCAGCTGCATGCGTTGTCCTTTCTTCCACCATGGACTCTCTCGCCCTTATTAAGCCTGCGATAGCTATCGCGTGTGGTCTACTTGCTCTGAGCTCAATACGTCGGCACCTGGGATACGTATGGAGCTTGAAGGACCTTCCTCAGCCACCTGTTCCTAGCTTCCTCGCTGGACATAGCCTGGATGTCCGCAAAGCGCGCGTCGGTACTCGATACAGCCGGTGGACGCACCGCTACGGGTGCACATACAAGCTGCGCGGGCCCTTGCTGGTACGCAACTGAAAGCGTTCCCGAAAATGAGCTAAGCATATGACTGCTCAGGAGCCGTTGCTCATCATGGGAGACCCGAAAGGAGCATCTTACGTTTTGACGAAGAACGCATCAAACTTTCCTCGTCCTGAGATTGATAGGATTGTACTCGAGTCATGGGTCAGTTCTTCATGCTAGCTTCTGTCTTGTTACAAACTATATTGCAGTTCGGAAACGGGTTGTTCTGTGCAGAAGGTACGCTTCTGGTGTCGAGCGTCCGTTACTGTTAAGTCCTGTAACACTCGCCCATAGGAGAGGAACACAAGAGACAGAGACGGATGCTCAACCCTGCCTTCTCGTCAGTGAATCCACGGTGTTTTACTGACGTGTCTAATGCTCATGTGATAATATCAAGTAATCAGTCCGTCGAAGAGGTCTCGCATATTTTCTACGATCTAGCATATCAGGTACGGTGTGCCATCAGTACCACGTCGTTGTGCTCCCGTGCTCAATGGTTGGACGCCAGCTTGTGGATAAGTGGGAAACAATGCTGGACGGGAAGAAATCATCCGCATTCGACATCGCGGCTACGATCCATGTGATGACGTGCGTACTCTCATGATAATAATTCGCAACGGGATCCTAACATACATGTTAGAATGGACGCCATCAGCATGACCATGTTTGCGTACAACTGCAGTGCGACGGAACCCATCATACCCGAGCTACTACAGAGATTCACTAACGCCCCCGATGCGGACGATGGCCCCACTGTGATTACAACACTCTTTGGAGCTCTGGTCTCAAAGTTTCCTCGTCTTCTCAATCTTATACCTACCCCGATGAAACGATGGGCCGATGAGTTGCAGCTTGAGCTGGGTGGTATAGCGTATCGTGTTCTGCGGGAAGGGCTTGGGAGCTCGCGCATGGATGCAAAGATCCTCAAACTCCTCGGTTCGCCTCCACGCCTTCGTCATAGCAATACGATCTCATGCGGATCTTCCGCAGATGGGCAAAGTAGAGGAGGTCCCCAAGCCGGGTTGACGGGTCCCGAAGCCATTGCGCAGGTACACGAGCAGCGTCTATAGTGTTCACCCGTATCCTCACGAAAAGCCTACAAGATCATCGGAATACTCTTTGCAGGCTCAGAAACGGTGGCTAATATGATATCAGTGCGTGTCAAGTCGATATGGGAAATGCTTCGCTGACTGATTTGCTTCCGTAGGAAATGCTCCTTGAGCTGGCTCGTCAGCCTCGCATTCAAGACAAACTACGTCAGGAATTGCTCGATTTCGAACGCAGGAACGGTAGACAGCCTAACTTTCAAGATCTGTCCAATCCGAACACGCTGCCGTACCTTGAGGCCTGTACGCGTGAGACGCTGCGGCTGAAGGCCGTTTTGATGGTGATAAGTCGCGTTGTGGGGATTTTAGGGCTCCCTATCGAGTGTAACTCCATATCTGACCATCTGCAGGCTGAGCAAGACGACGTGATTCCGTTGCAGTACCCCATTTTGGGCACCGATTTGACTCATGTTCATGTCAAGGCAGGACAGGCTATCAATATCCCAGTCCGAGATGGTATCAATGTGGATCCTCAGCTATGGGGAGACGATGCTCAAGTATTCCGTCCTGAACGCTGGGTCGAGCCCAATGGCTTGCCTGAAGGCGCACTTTCAATCAGGGCTCAGGACCACACCTTGACCTTCGGCGATGGGTGCGTCGCATGAGCGTCCTTACGAATTCAATATTGATACTGGCGGAACTTCGGCATTCGTAGACCAAAAGTCTGCCTGGGTCGAATTTTCGGTGAGTACATTATCTTTTGATTTACCGACGTTCATACTGACTGCTCTACCTAGCACTGACGGAACTTCAAGTCTGTGTTCCTGTGGATGTCGTGCACAGTATGCTAACCCAGGCGCACAGATTGTTGTCAGCGTCATGCTGCTGCGGTTCCGTTTCGAAGATGCTGGAATGCCCCTTGACTTCTATCATCTTGGTGGCAACACGGTGAAGCCGAAGATACGAGGGAGAGAAAGCGAAGGCGTTCAGCTACCTCTCAAAGTGCACCGGTTGTAGACGCTCAGTTGACGTTGGGCTGGTCCATACCTGTAGGCTACAATCAAAACACATGGAAACACAGGTGTGCAATATCTACGTAATAACTTCAAGTGAATGTTGAGAACTTATACGTTGCGCTCCACTCAAAATCCTTGCCTGGTCCATCTGGTAGTGCATAAGTTATCAGAGCCGGAGTTCGCTTAATTCGAATACTCACAGATTTGATCTACATTCCACTCCGGGGTGTTGATTGCGTCGATATATCCTTCTTGCTCGATTGCTACCGCGGACCAGCTAGTGTAATTTAGCGAAGGGCCACCATGTACTACTTTTCGCGGAGTGTCAAACCAGTATGCCGTATAAACTTGAACAGCAGGCTGATTTGTCGTGATATCGAGTCTAACACGGAAGACCCAGTTCAACAAAATGATGCACCGGACGAGAGATACTACTGCCCACCTTATTCCGGAGACGTCACTTGATAGTGTCACCCCTGCTTTCTGATCCTCCGCATGATCGTATATCCAACAGCTGTCGTATCCCTGACATCCTAACCATGGCCATCGGTGCTCGACTTTGGACGTAAGACCAACAACATCCACAAACTCACCTTCGCCACAGAGATTGATCGTCTCATTCCACCTCGCTCCTATCTTCTGCGTCGTTCTAAAGTCGAAGGGAGAGCCAGTCACGTTGATAAATGATCCTGTCGGAATAGCGTTGCTGTCGACGGCGACGACCTTCGAGCCGTCGACATGCAAAGTGTGGTCGAGTATGTCTTCACTGCCCTGGAATGCATCGAGGTTCCTATATACCAACCGCGTGAGCGAAGCCTCGGAAAAACCCCTTCACTGAACAGTCACCAGTAGACGTGCTGCGTCGTCATGATGGGTGTAAGCTCGCTTGCGTTAGCATGCACAGTTGTCTGAAGTCTCCCGCCGTTATGCACGGAGTGCGTAGCCTGACATGAAACTCGTCAGTCGCATAGATGTGGTGCTGAGGATACAAAGAAGTCGCATACCGTTGTGATGACAATACCTGGAAATCCTTCATCCCCTTGGTCGTAATGAATGTATGTCACGCTGCTACTGGTTTTCTCGACAATTGTCCAGGTTCGTCGATCCCACCCGTATATCCCACCGTGCAAGGTGTCCGCACCTGATCGCCTGTAAGCGCTGGGTTGACGCGGTAAAACGCCAATGTACGTACCATCATGATCATTCGTCGTAATGTGATAAACTCCTGGCTCGTCCGGCTGTGCGTCTTTCGTGATGGGCATCGAGAACGTTCCTGTTATCAGGGTAGAACTGTTCTGAGCGACATCACGATGCGAAACAATCCATTTGAATCGACGTACCGTTCTTGATGCGGTTGGCGTATCTGAGGAGATTTGAGCGCGATCAATGTACCGAGAACGTCATCGTACCTCCCAACAACGGGGTTGAAGACCGGATGTGCAGGATCATACAGAAGCTGAGACTGGCATCACAGGTTCAGAATGAAATTCATCGTGGTTTGTGGCAGGACTTACGTTGTCGTCGTATCCCAAGATGACGTCTCTTTGCTTTCCGAACTTGTCGTTCACCCAGAGTTCAGTCATAGTAGCTCCGAGCGAGACAAATCTCGCTGTTATGGAGCCATCCGTGGCGGTGATTGTGGTGATGTCGAACGGCTAGACTTCAAATGTAAATATGTAGGCGCTCCGTAAGCCACATAAAATAACGCACCCATTCAGCAGCCAAAGCGCCCCGGACAACGGACAGGCAGGCAAGAATAGATAGACGCATGGCGCCTGATAGCGGAGAACATGAACTCATACCATTGGTCTTTATGCCATGGTGGTTACGGTTCCGAGAACCGCTGCTGGAGCAATATCGCGTGAATGAAGGAGTAGTTAACAGTATCCGACCTAGGCTCACCTTGCAATAAGAGGTGCTACGTGGTCCGTCAGGTGATGAATTCCGGAGGACGGTGCATTCCTTCAACACCGGAAAGGCGTCATCGACGAGCCAGTGATCCTCTGGATCCCGGAATCCGGTATCCCAGACCTTGTTCTGGTCCAATGCAATGAGCGGAGCATGACATACGTACTGGCGAGCACAAGTGAGCGAAGGAGAAACATCGGGAAGGAAGACGCATAATGTATGGCAATAGGTTGCCGCATGACATGCGTGGCGTGAATGCCGCCCATGAAATCGTACGCACATGACCTTGCTTGAGTAAGGTCTGAATACGGAGCGATGAAGCTAGGCTCAGTGAGCAGGAGTCGGAGCACCTCCTTCCGTATCAGGGCCGAACCGTACGGACCGCGGCGAACCGGAAGGAGCAGACTGATTAAATGGTCGACGGAATCTTTCTAAAGGGTGACAGACCTGACGATCAATATCGGAAGCAGGGAAAACGCTTGTGTCGTACGGGCGTACTCGTCGTTCAGACCAGGTTCTGGTCACCACCGCACTAGTACGCTTGCGAGCTAAAGTCGGACGTTTTGTCAACATTCGCCTTCCTAGACGTGGATCAGCAGATCAATGGACCGCCAGTATCTGTCCGATACGCCATCGCGCGGACAATGATCAAATGATCAAGTCCATTCATAACTGCCGCAGCGATAGTATTGGGTATTCCGTACCCGTGCACGTTGCATACAAGTAGAAGGATGCCATCGCATGTGGACCCCCATGAGACGTAAGCGAAGTCAAGGAAGCGGAAAAACGTAAATGGGGGAGGCCTTATATGGTCCTATGATTTGTCAACCCACCGAAGGCCGTTCCGTTCTCGTCAAGAAGAGGAATGCCCTTTGATTCCAGCTCGACAGCTGCACCAATATCCTGAAGAACACCGGTTTCATAACCGCCGACAGCAGAGGAGATGATAGGTATCTGTGGGAGGTTCCATGATACACCATCGAGTTTGATATATCCAAGTTTGGGGAGGGAGGCAGGGTCAACTAGGCGGAGGAGGGGCTGTCCAAGTCCGAGGCCGCTGACAGTGAGTGTCTGGAGTGTCGGATGAACGACAGGAATGGCATAGAATGTTATGTGATGCGTAGCTTGGAACGATGACCTCGCCTCTGGAACGGTATGTATCAAACTGAGGTGCGTAAGCTGCGGCAGTGCCCCTGCAAGGTCGATATAACGAAGCTGACCCCCACGAGGTAGCTGAACGTATAGAGTACGGAGTTGGGAACCGAATGCAGCCACGAAAGGTATGACGGACTCTTCGCCGAGGTCTAAGAAATCTCCTTGTAAGCGCAGATCGGTCAGGGCGGGTAGCTCTGCCGTCTTCGCAAGCAGAAATGGGATGCGATCTCCCTCGAGACCCATCATATCCGCCCGCGGGTAATGCGCGAATAGTTGTAACGACGTCAAGCGGGGAAGCGATAGGTTCGGCAGGTCGTCAGAGCTGAACATCTCGTCCAGGTCCTGGTGAAAGGAGACCCAGCTGCGGCGTTGCTCGGACAGCCTGAGAAATTTGAGGTTGACCATGCTGTTCAGGTGGTCGACCCAGGATGATCTGATGATGAAGGGGTGTATCTCCAGATCGAGATGCGTCAGGGTGTGTGCGCTCGAGCGGCGAAGGTAAGGGAACCAGGGGATAGAGTGGTCGAAGGTCCCCGCGAAGTGATGCAAGGTCACATGCGAGAGTAAATGGCACAGGAGGGCTCCCATTTCTGCTGTGGTTCGCGGGTGTTCCGCGGGACAGAATACGGCCAGTGTGTGAGTTTTGGTGAGCCTGTCTGGACCATTGGATGACACGAACTCGCACAAACGGCGAAACCGCTTGAGATCGCTATTCTGAGTCTCATATTCATCCACCCTCGGCCTCCATCCGAAATGGATGTCACGATACATGTATGGTTTCGCGATTGCCTAAGACAACATCGTCAGCTATCAACGAGGCGAACTCCAGCGCTGAGCCTGCTACGTACGTTCCACCTGTGATTAACCAACCGGATATTCCGCCTTGTTTCGTCGGTGGCGACTTTCGCGGACGATGTTGTGAAGACGAATGGATCGCCCGGCACCGTATCGTACGCCATCGCGAGGGCGATTATGCGGTCCAGGAGCTCGTCCGGATATTCTTCGAGTGATTTCACCATAGTCGTTTTATGATGCAGAATATGATTTCAACGCACAAGGAGGAGAAAAGATATGCTCAGTCACATTGACAAGGATCAACGTCAACGTCGTCGGGCGGTTGCCAGATGCTCCCGCCCAGGGGTCCGGTCGCGAAATCAATGGGGCACGTGTTTCGCGATGGAATCCCCTGGCGTTCCGGCGATATCGGCCACGACCAAATCGCCTTCCACTACTTATACACCGTCTCAATATCTACGAATTTAGAGCGTGTTACTACAACTACAGAGTCTAGCATATGCATGAGGAGTGAGTATACACACTGGCGCGTTATGTGACAGAAAACACCATTAGGGTATTGCAGACCAGGACAAGAGAGGGAGGAGGCACTGTGGGTCTAGAGGAGAGTCCGTGTATAGGAAAAGCTGGAAATCATAATTTCGAGAGGAGCAGGCCGATGACGACGAAGATGATGGTCGCGGGAGGAGTGACGACGCAGTACGACCAGAACACCGTGCGGCTGATGAGGCGCTCGAACGAGTCGCCGGAGGCAGCTTGAGTGATCTATTCACGTTCTCAGCGAACAGCGATGGGAGGCAACCGCAAGATGGACTCACCTGGGCCAGCGTCAACGCGGGTGGCGATGCGATGAGGAGAACATTCGACACAACGAACACAGGACTGCAAAATTTTAGATGTCGATCAGCTTCCCGTTGCAGCGTCCCGAGAGTTGGACTAATCGACTCACTCCTCGAGGACCTGATGCCAATCGAACTTGGCCGACAACGCCATGCCGGGCAACAGAAGCAACGGAGTGACGACCATCCGGCTCACCACTGCCACGAACACCGTCTTCGTCTCCCCTGGCACCTTCTCCCCCTTCTTCGCCCCCGCCAATAAGCTTTGCGGACTGCCGTCCCTTCTCTCCTTGCCTCTCAAGCTCCCCATCTTCAACATGCCCTTCACACTCCCCACCACGCTCGCGATGCTCGCCATCGAGCTACGCTTCGTTTTGCGCGCATCCACGACCGGCGGCTGCTCGGCCGCGCCGGGCTCAGGCGGATTGTAGAAGTACGCGCCGAGCACAATGAGCGTGACCGGAATCGAGCAGTTGCCCGCGGCGCTAAGCGCATTCTTGACGGGTGGGAAATGATCGTCGAGCGCGTGCTGGAGAGGCTGTATGAGCGCCACGATGAGCGACAGCAGCGCGGCCCAAAGCGGGACCGTCATGAAATCGTTGAACGCCGTCCAGAATCCCTTCACCCTTCGCCACGCCCTGCGTCTGAACGAATGCATCCGGGACGTCGCCGGCGCCGTGATCTCCCGTCGACCCACGCCAGGTGCAGGAAATTCGTCGTCGTGATCTTCGTCCGAATCCAGCACGAACGGCGGCAGGGTGTCATCCGACTCGGCGAACTCGCGAGCCATGTGCGAAGGCGAGTTCGGGAAGGAGTAGAACACGCCCGTGCCTTTCCTGTCCATGCCTGGACGGAGGAGGCCCTCGCCTGTCGGAGCGCGCACAAGGATCGCCGGCGGTTTGATGCCAGGGGTGCCCCACGAGCGAGGCAGGCCGGCCTCTTCAGCAGCGCGGCGCAGTTGATCTTCCGCGTGCGGGTCTCGATAAGGGGTGGAAGAACCCGAGGCCGTCTGGGTCGATTCAGAGTCGGTGTATAGATGGCGATGATGGTGCAGCTGTTCCTCAGCGGGCGCAGGTGGGAAGGCAAGTTCTTCGCGCTCGAGGAGTGGGCTCGTCTGATCAGGGCCTGGGCCGGCGACTTGAGGATTCGTCTCGGGATCTGCTTGAGCGAGGAGGCGAACACCATAGCTCCAGCGTAGCTGATGCAATGGATTGTGAGGAGGAAATTTCGATGAGTTAACGACGGACGTACCACCATGCCAAGCGTACTGTGAAGCACCAAGTAGGTGAGGGCACGACCGATCATCGCGCTCTTGTTATCATCATCGCCCCATTTGAGGCTCTTGACGGTGGTGATAAGGGATTGCATCAGTGCGATAGGGAGGGAATTTGAGTTCATGAACATGGACGCTGCCATGGCGAAGCTCCTATATGGACGATCAGACCAACCTCAGCGCAAGAAGACTCAGCAACGCACCTTTGCGAGCGCTTCAGCCTAAACAATTTGCTCAATACGTATGCGACTACCATGGATACGCCAGTCGTGATGAAGAAGAAGAACGGCACGATCCATAGCTCCTTCATTTTTGCTTCGTAGCGCGATATTAGCGTTTAGTATAAGACAGAGCTTGTCATGCTCACCAGGGGTAAGGAAGAATGCGACTTTCGAGAAGAGCAGCGAAGGGGTGAAGATAGACACGTTCACCCTATTAAATTGCTGCGTTCGACATCAGCACGACATAGCAGAGGGGAAGCGAGAGGAAATCTCACCTTTTGCGTCTTCTTGTCAAGTATCCCTTTCCGTGCTAGTATGTATCCCGCAAGGCACAGTAGGAAAACTTCGAGGATAGACTATGGCTTGGCGGTCAATCCGATAAAGCCCAGTGAACGCGGAGTCGTCAACGAACCTCGAATACGACGAGTAGAAGGGGCCCAATAGGAGTATCTAAAGGCGACTTCGCCATAGTGAAGGCCGTCAACAGTGAGCAACGAAGTTGCGGGGAGCCAGGCACCGAGGATAAAGGAGAAGACGGAAGTCGTGAAGCGCACGTTGGATTGGGGCGTCAAGACCATGCGTCATGGGCTGGAATTTTGTCCCAAACATTTCCGCCTTTGGTAATATTTGACCGTGAGCATGGACGGATTCTGCACCGATACCTCCCTCTCGAGCCTCACTTACCGAAAGGCAATTTCCCCGCCAATCCATCCACTGCAATGCATCGTGTAGATACCACAATTGCTCACCGCATCTGGAATTGCAGGTAGTGCGTGACCTTCATCGATCCGCCGAGCTCTAACTATAACATCCCAAACTTAGCCTCGCAACACTTGGCGAGATCGGTTTATCAGAAATAGTGATTAGGGTCCTATAAGATATCCGTCTCATCCGCATCTACATCTCTTGAACAGGGTCCTGAAACCTTGATGGACAGCCGGATCCGAAGTGACCAGGAGCAGCTTGCCGGCGGCCCTATGACTGACGTGCAGAAATACATGATCTACATCTCTTGAACAGGGTTCTGAAACCTTGATGGACAGCCGGATTCGAAGTGACCACCTTCCCGCCTTCGGAATAATTCGTGACTTGAGGCTCAACTTGATCATGATGAAGCTCGTACGTATACAGAGTTACGCACGACCCAGTTGCGGTTTATGTGCGCCCATGGAGGTGAATCGTGAGTCATAACGCGGCCTCGTGAGATGGAAGATCCTCTTTAAGGCTCTATCACTCGCACAGCGTAGACGAGGTGTCAAATGAATAGCTCGCAGACATTGCAGTATCCGAATAATGCTTCCCCAAGGCTGTACAGAATGAAATTGGAGTTGCGTTACCAAGACTACCCGCATTGCCTGCGCAATTCATAGTCCTCCTGTGCTGCACTTGACGTAGTTCAGACGTAGCCAGGAGCAGCCGTGGTTGCCGCCGGCCCTATGACTGACGTGCAGAAATACATGATTCAATCGATATACTTAGATGTGGGCTCTATTGATGTAACGTTGCTGCATAGCTGATCTCGTGCGAATGCGCAAGAGGACCAACATCTTCTCCGCAGTCGTACGCTGTTATTACCAGAACTGCATATATATGTCGTCGCGAGACATCAGATGATACCTGTTGCTGCCCCCGTTGTCTTCAGGATGTCCGAGTCCAACAGGGAATACATTGGCTCCGTTAAAAATGATCTTTCTGATTGTATGTCCTCTATCTCCGCGCATTTCTATATGCTCACCTAACCGTTCATTGGATATAGCATCCGTAGTTCAGATGCCGGAATTCAGGAAGTTTGTCTGCATACAAAGCGAATTGTTATCTGCCAGATGCTCCCCACGCATCTGCGAATGCGTTGCAGGTATATCTGTTATTGCATTTCTTCGGATGATCTCTCTGTACACTCATGAATATTAGTTCCACCGCCGGAACCCACAGGCGACTTCGCAAAGGCCTTACATCTGCACGAGGAATTCTGTCAGAAAAGCGACCTCGATGCCGCCGATCAATCCATCCAGACTTACACGGCTCTTCTTGCAGAAGATGATCACCTTCACCACTTGTCTCCTCTTGTCTACCCTCCCATCAAACAGCTTCCATCATGCTTCGGTGTAGATGCAAGAAGAATTCATATTCTCGTTCACTTGGCACAGATATATCAGGAACGCTATCTCTATAGGAACCATATCGATGATCTCAATTATGCAGTGAAGTACGCTCAAGACGCTTGTGTACTTTGCAGCGGCAAGAGACTTGTATGCCCCACAGTGGCGATATTGTCTGCCAGCATATTGATGTCTCATGCGGATTATACCTCCGAACACGAAGAAGTGACAATGGCAGAGTCGTTTTATCGTGGAATCATTCCAATATGCCCCAATTCTCATCCTTTGAAGGCAACTGCGCTTCGTGGCCTCGGATGGGTTCTGCTTCGTTTATTTGAGATCACAGGATCTGCGGCACTTCTTGACGACGCTATCCTCCAGCAAACTCACGCACTCACGGAGCTTCTGCCCTCCCAGTCTCACACAAAACATAGGCATCTTCGATACCTAGGCATTTACCTGGTCCGAAAGTTCCAGACTGTACACGATCCAAATGTTCTCGAGAAAGCTCTTGGTATCAAAACGGAAGCCCTAAATCACTGCCCGGAAAAACACGTTGACATGCCAAAGATCGTCCATGATATGCTATTCTTGCTCAGGAAGAGATTGAATTATCACAGCTCCAGAGAGGATCTCGATCAAGCTATTGGAATGGGACGGCGTGCTTTGGAAGTTCACTCTCCTTACAGTGTTCCGACATATTCCTCCATATTATTTTCAGACTCGCTAGCAGACTTGCTTTCTCTGCGTCAAGAGCTGTATCCTACGGATGGAAATGATTTTCAAGAGCCGATCAAGCTACGCAGGGAGGTTTTGAGATTTTCACCGCGCACATCCATCGGATACTGGTCGGCTCTAAGCAGTCTCTCTACGACACTGCGCCAACAGTATGCCTGGAATGGCGATCTAGATTTTCTTGACGAAGCGATCTATGTCTCTCGTCAGGCATCTCTTGTACCGCAAAACTATCGCATTGGTGAAAATATCGCACTGAACTTGGCGGAAAATCTCATGTTCAGTTTTTCCGAGGTGGGCAATATCGAAGACTTGAACGAAACCATCGATTGCATTGATCGCGCCATGACTCTTATATCGCCAACCTATGCAAGTTATCCTCAAGTCGCACTAGCTAAAGCTTCGTATCTATGCACAAGATACGAGAGAACTCAGGAGACGTCGGATCTAGACCAAGCCGTGACTCTTGCGCAGAGTGTCCTGGACATTGTCCTTCCCGACTCCAATCACTTAACGGCAACCGACGCAGTGCAATGTATGGCTCAAGCCCTGCTTCTGCGCGGAAATGGAACCAACGACATCTCAGATATCAATAAAGCTATCGAGACACTCACGCCAATAATATGCACGGTGTCGCAAAGGGGATCTGGATCGGAATGTCTGCGCATAATCGTTGACAGCCACCGAAGCAGATTCTTCCATACCCGGGACCCAGATGATGCGACTCACGCACTGAGGTACACGCAAATCATGCTGGATGCTGCGCCTTCAGGACGGCGAGGCCGTTATAAGTCTCTCATCACCGCCGCCAAGGTGTACGTCGAACATGGTACTACGTACCGAAGCTTCTCCATGACCCTGTCATACCTCCATGATGCCTTGTCGGATAACCACAGGGATATACGATCGCGCATTCAAGGTGCAACAGAGATTCTTAACCTAATTCAAGCTCATCATAAGGATATCTTTGCGGCTGATCAGGATACTCAGTTGCAGCTTCTGCACATATACGGCAGTGTGGTTAGGCTGCTTCCCCGTGTGGCGTTCTTGGGACTTCATCTGCGATCCAGGCTCGTGTCCCTCGGAATTGGGCAGAGCGTAGCAGTCACAGGTGCATCCCATGCCCTGAATATATCGATGCCCGAAATGGCCCTTGAAATCCTCGAGCAAGGGCGCGCGATATTTTGGACTCATACCTTACGCCTCCGCTCGCCATTCGATGCCGTACCGGAGAAGAATCGCAGTCAGCTGCTGCTTCTCGCCAGACAGCTAGAACGCACCGATCCTGCGGCAAAGGACCCACGAGCGGTGGAATCGGAGGTCACGCGGAGGAGGAAGCAAAGCGAACAGTTCAACGCACTCCTGGAGACGATACGCAGATATCCCGGAATGGAACGCTTTCTTCTTCCCGATGAATATGCGAAACTGGCTACAGCGGCGAAGGAAGGACCGGTCGTTGTACTTGTTTCCAGCGCGCTAGGCTGTCATGCGGTAGTCATCAACTCCTCTGGCGATGTTATGGGCATACCTCTCAAGCAGGTTACGCAGGCGTGGCTTGTGGAATCGAGTGCTACATGGAATTCAGAAATGACACAGACTAGAACAGCACTAAGGTATCGCCTCAAGATGTTGAAAGTAGCAAGCCCCCACAAGTTGAAGCATACCAGATCTGAGGAGATTCTACGTCGCTTGTGGTTCGATGTGGTTCTCCCAGTTTTCAACTCGTTGCAACTGAAGGCACGCTCTATTTTCCCGCTTCTAATCTCGTTACTGACCTCTTCCTTGAATAGCCTGCTACCGGTCGAGGCCGCCCTCGTGTATGGTGGTGTCCCACCGGAAACTTCGTGCATCTTCCGATCCATGCTGCAGGTGCCGACGGCGATTGGGCCACGAATTACATCGTATCCTCATATACGCCAACCCTGGGATATCTGATCAGTGCCAGAGAAGCTTGTGAGCCACCGAAGAAGAGCGATATACTTGCTTTACTGGCTGCGGTTCCCCAGCCAAACACATCGCAGTGGCATGACCTCCTCTTTAGTCGCGAGGAAGTCTCTATTGTCAGCGAAATCCTACCCGCAGGCATGGAGATACCCGTCATCCCTGCTAATTGCACTCTCGGGAAACATGAAAACGGGATCACTGCTGAAAGGCTACTGAAGAACTTACCTAAGGCGACAATCTTGCACCTTGCGTGCCATGCCTACCAGGATCCGGAGAATGCTCTGAAAAGCGGATTCGTGATGCAAGACGAGACGCTCACAATAGAAAGGTTGATGCAAACACCTCTTTCGTGTGCGTTCATGGCGTTTCTGAGCGCCTGCGAAACCGCGAAAGGAGACAAGGTAAGTTCACGATCCGAGTCTAATAAGCACCATATAACGAGCACATCACAGGATCAGCCGGACCAAGTCGTCCACCTTGCCGCAACTTTGCTGTTTGCCGGATTCAAGACTGTGATCGCTACGCTCTGGTCAGCATCAAGGATAGTGCTCTGTCTTGCATCTCGCTCACATGCCTCTGACCTAGGTCAATGGAGGACGTGGATGGGCCGCTCATCGCCAAATCCGTGTACGAGGACCTCTTTAGCCGCGATGCGGAGTACCTCAATCCCGACGACATCGCATATGCCCTTGACGAGGCAGTCCTGAAGCTCAGACTCGTGCACCCTGAGCCGAGTCGATGGGCGCCTTATATTCATCTCGGAATCTGAGCTATCATGGAGGATGATGACACGGTAGAGATCGGAGAACAAACATGGTCTCCGGTGCATTCGTAGTCTTGTAAGGAGGGTCGGAAGGTGGCGCACCTGGCCTGATACAGGTGAAATGTTACTGTATATGAACCCGGTAGGTGCAACGATGGCGAACGGGGCAAGTTAGGATCATTGTGTAATCCAAGCTTTCTGGCTTCGCGGCTACTTCTGGCCAACAGCGGATCGATATAATGTTTAACGTCGGGGTAGAGTGCGCCGTCTTGTTAAACCGACTTATCCGGCATTTCCGTCGAGATCGTCGCGAACTGCGTCTAATTCATCTTGATCCGGACTGGCGCGGCATTTGACTGTACATGTACGAATACCGAGCTTCGAGGTTTATGCACTTCGGTAAGCAAACATGTTGCAATCTCTCTACACGGACAAGATGGTGAGACCTTGCGTGCTGGCTAGTGGGTCAGAGACAGTGTTCGGGCTAATTCGCGGGATCGACCGAACCACCGATAACGCTGTGAAATAGCAACGCTTGTTTTGTCGTTAGGGGATCGTCAAAGACATTCACGTTGGCCACCGTTTTCACACATAATGTCCCGCTGTATGGTCCCACCTACTGTGCCGGGCGGAAGCTTTCGACCTTCACTTCACCGTCCGGCGCCAGCATGACCATACAAGCCCTCCATATGTGCCCGGTGAAACATACCGCGCCATGAACTCACTTCATGAAGAAACACCCTTACCATCTGCTTCATCGACCGACCGACGGTTTCACCACCATGGGTCGATCTTAGCTGTCCCTCAAACACGTCCATTCACGCAACTTCTATCATAATCTAAGATTACCCGCCAGATTTCCTACATGCATCCCGCAGTCGCACCATGCATCTTCTCGCCGCTCTTTCAGTCATGCTGTTTGTACCCGCATTCGCGCGTGCTCTCGCGCCGACGCGTTCGTCTGACTCCGCCCGCCGTGGACTCGCGCCGGAGCTACCGAAGTCCCCCCTGCAGCTACCAGATCCGCTTCCTTGCAACAACGCCGAGCGTCTCCGCCTCGGACTCCCTCTCAAGAAACCTCGCTGGCGCACGTCGTCATCTAATGGTTGGTTTTCCCTGCCTTCATCTCGCTGCTCCTAACATGCTGGCCTTTTTGTCATTTTGTTGGCATTTCTAGGGCCAGTCCCGAAGCGAGCCACGCCGTCGAGCATACCGGTGACATACTCGGGCGCCCTTCGCGTTCTGAACCTCGACGACGCGGGTTCCGTACTCGGCTACGTCGGCGGCACGTTGAACGAATGGGGAGAGTACGGTATCGTGGCCGACGTCGAGGACGCGCTTTTAGTCTCATTCACCACCGCAGACCCCACTCAGCCCTTCGAAATCTCTACCCCCGTACGTCCTCCTCCGTCTCCCTCCATCTTGACCCACAACCGATCTCATTCTGTGTTTTTCTCGCAGTCACAGGGCACGTACCCGTATCTAGGTGCGACGGTCGGTTACAGCAGCACGGACGACGATCTTGCGGTCGGCTCGTACAATTACGCATACCTGAACGGCGTCGTCGACGACACATCTTCCAGCACGCCGGCGGTCGCTGAGCTAAGCTCGTTCACGGTCAGGACCGGTTACCTCAGGTATTCAGAAAGCGCCATCTGGACGTACGACCTCGATACGTGTCTGTTCTCTGCCCAATGGACGAATACAGACGGAAGTGCGTACCCGCTCCTTCGTCTTTCTTCACTCCGTTCCTTCATTCCCTTCCGTTTCGGATTGCGGACGGTGAGCTGACGTCACCACACCCACAGGTGCACCCGCAACGGAGATTGTGTACGAGGCGGAAGATAACGCGATTGCGTTCACGGGAGACGTAGCCGCTTTCGTAGACGCCATCGGCACGTCGCCCCGCGTGGTGAGTTTACCTTTTCCTGATTTCCTGTGACTTTCTTGCCCGAACTCGACTGACGCCATTCTGTTCTGCCATAGGCACTGCAGCTCGTCGAGAGTTGACGATGACCTCTAGAGTGTCAATTGTTACCCGGATTGCTGTTCGCTCACGCTCACGATCAGTCGAACACGCTGCTCTCTTTCTGCAACCGCTGTTGCGAGTGTCACGAAAGAGATCATCACTTTCTAGGAGTGATTTCGCTGTGCACAAGCCGAGATCAAGGCTGAAAGTTGAGCCCATGGTACATGGGCTTGCATGCAGTGCCAGATCATGCTTCGACCACCCATTGACATCTCCCCGCTCTGTCCATCTCTCGGGAATTACGATCAGGACAACGTTTTGCATAATCCATGCAACACGTTCTATCACAGCCAGATATAGTAGCATGCTGCGCTCGTTACGCAAAGAACGCAGGGACGATACATGCATGCGCGAACCAAGCCGTGAGACGTTCTAAGGAGTGCGCGATCAATAGGAAGGAGAAGGAAGGGTGGAACGGGCGCAGGGAACGGGAGGCGTGAGATTCTGCCGCTTTCTGCGCTGAGATGGGAAGTATGAAGAATGAATGTGAAAAACGTCCTTTTGTGTCCAACCATCGGCCCGTCGAGTTGCGTCCGGACGTTGATGGCGGAGATCTAAAGGCTCGTAGGGATCTGAACGACTTGGAGGGTCTGTGCAACCGAAAAGATGCGTTAGGCGATGCATGCCGGACGAGGATGGGGAAGGGACTCACGATGCGAGAAGAGTCGCCGAAGATATCGCCGAAGGCGCTCGAATCGCCCGTCAGGGCAATAACATTGTCGGGCATGTAGTAGACGATCTGCGTCGCGGGCGTGCCTGCGACGAAAGATGGGTGTCAGAGGGGCGGCGGGAAAGCGGGTAGCGTCATGTCACGCACTGCCGTCAGTATTGGTCCAGTGCGCCGCGAGCAGGCCGCTGCCGGTGTCGTACGTCCAGATCGCGCTCTGGCCTAAGGTCGGGTACCCGGTCGCCGCGCTGACCGAGTTCGTTTGGTTGCTGGACCCGGCGTGCACGCCGCCGAGGTAGGCGTAGTTGTACGAACCGAGTGCGAAGTCGGGCGAGGTGGAGCCGTAGCCGAGAACACCGCCGAGGAAGGGGAAGGAGCCCTGCGCGGAGGTAAGCGAACTGCACACAGGCGAGGGAACGTTAAAGGACGTACGGGGATCGCGATGGCGGACGGCCCCGAGCTGCCGACTGGGGGCGTGACGGCGAGGGCGTTGGCGGCGTCGGGGGTGATACCGTACTCCCCGAACACATTGGTCGTCGACCCAATGTAGCCGAGCGCGACATTGCCGTTGCCAGTGTCGATGACGCGGATCGCGCTCTTGTACGTCAACGGCGAGCCGGAGGGCGCCTGGCGTTTTGCCTCTGCGAAAGCAAACGGCAGGTCAGGCTTTGACTTCGCGACGCGAAGAGGCGACAAGAAAAGACTTACGGAGGGTGGGCGACGCCCGGCGGGGCTTCTTGAGCGGCAGGCCCCGCGCGAGACGCTCCGCGTTGGTGTTCGGGAGGGAGGCACGAGCCGCGAGGGCAGGGTCTGGGTGGAGGAGCGCGCGCGGCGGATTGAACTCGGGCTTGGAGGAAGACGCGACGGTGTCCGTGTCTGCGGCGTTGGCGAGGCCAAGGCCGAGCGCGAGTGCGAGGAGGACCGGGGCGAACTTCATTGCGACCGAGTGTGTGCGTTTCGTTGGGGCACGACGTCTCTGAGCCTCATGAACGGTCCGGTATTAGTACTTTTCCTCCACTGGCGAAGAACGGGGATGGCCGTCCTTGCACTGACGGACTCGTCTCCGTCTGGATAGTGCATCGCCAGAGAATGGGGGATTGCGTCTTCGGAAAACTGCGAACAGGTTTCCTTTGGTGCCATACATGCTCGCATCTTCGCTTCGCATTCTAGACCAGATGATTGCGTACGTGCGTATGCAATTCAGGCCTCTCCTTGAAACGAACGTTCGCAATAACAGCACCGCAACCTAGAGGTGGGCGCCCGCTACCCGCCGCCAGCGCGCCTCCGGCTTTAGATGCGCAATCTCCAGACGTGAATCGGCAAGAGCAGGAAACACACGGGCATTGACGTGTGACCATGTCCGATCGTCTTCTTGCTCGCAACGAGGACATTCTGCTCTCGTGCATCTTCGTTGGGGAGACCAGTGTTATTTCAGGTTCCGGGAATAGAGCGCAACTGAATGAGTAGAGTAACCGTAGGCTTGTACCGCTGATCAATCAATGCTGTCATCGTGAAGTACAACGAGGCGTACCGAGGAGCTCGAAGACGCACAGGAGGCAAGTTTGGTACCGATATTCCTCCTATCCAGGATTACAGCAGCTTTATGAATACCGCTTGGAGATGAGTATCGCAAAGCATATTTTTCGGCCGTGATTCAAGACGGTACATCGTTTGGGAGAGCAGCATCCGCAGTCGCCATCGTGAAACGAGATGAAAATTCGTCGTCGAGCTTCCCGTAGTACAGATCGAACCAGTACAGTCCTACGACGATCCATCACCGAAGTAAGCTGATATGGTACTGAATAAGGATGTATGCAGATATCGAAAGATGTCGAGCATACCATTCCCGGTTTTTCCTCAATTCGACCCGTTCGTCGGCGCGTGCCTACAGTGCCACTGAATTGAATTGATGTTCTTTTTCCCGACTAGAAGTTCGGCTCAGTTCGACTTGTTCGCAACAGCGCTACGTATAAGCGACTGAAGCAGATTGCGCAGTGGACCGTGTCGTAGTCAGAGCCAACCAGACTGAGGCTGCTCCGGATCCGGTGCGATTGTTGCGTGCAATCAACGCCCGTACAGCCACACTACGTCCAAGGGTATTATCTCGAAGATTGCCTACTACATGTACGATAGACGATCTGGGTGGCATGCAAAAGAATGGCGTTTAGGAGCGAGGGAATTACATGTCTACTACCAGTCCAATCTCCCGACGATACTCAGACGACAGTCGGGATCTGGACAGCTTGTAACAGCTGATGCGTGACAACAAGTTGAGTGATAATGGCACAGTTGTAGTATGCGGTGCACTTACAACACGCGGAGAGTCTCCAAATACGCTTCCAAAGGTTGCGGGATCTCCAGTGAAGCAGAGGACGTTGTCGCGGCGATAGTAGACGATCTGCGTCACGGGTGTCGCTTTGAGAGGTGCGTTTACATCAGCCGAAAGAACGACAATGCTGGAAGTTGTGCGAAGGCACAGAAGGACGCACCGCCGTTGCTATTGACCCAATGCGCGGTGAGATTGCCGGTGCTGGCGTCGACGGTCCACAACGCGCTCTCGATTGAGGATAGGAGCCCTTCCGTGGCGTTGATAGAGCTGCGCTGATCGACAACAGCGGACCCTGCGGGAACGGCGCCAATTCCGGCCAAGTAAGCATAGTTGTAGGAGCCGGTGTTGAGGTCGTTGGAGGCGGAGGATTGACCGACGGCGCCGCCGAGGGTCGGGAAGGCGCCCTAAGCAAACGCACCGTATTTTGAGATTGAGGAGGAAGTTGAGGGTAGTGGTAACCACGCACCGTCATAGCAATGTCGAACGGCACGGACGTGGCATTAGACGGGAGAGTAACATGCAGCGCGTCGATGGCCTCCCATGTGATCCCGTACTGGCCGTACTGGTTGAGCACCGCACCAACGTAGCCAAGCAGGGCGTTGTTGAGGTCGAGGTTGAGCGCGCGGATGGCGGTGAAGTAGGTGGAAGGCGAAGCTTGGCGCTTGGTGGCTGCACGAGACAAAGTACTGAGTCAGAAGCAGGGAGGGGGGATGGAGCAATGGTACGTACGCAGTTCGCCCGCGTCGACGGCAGCGGCATGGCCAAAGCTGAGCGCGAGCGCGAGGAGGACCGTGGCGAACTTCATGACTACCTGGTACATCCGAGGGTGGAGAGATGCGGGACATCCATGTTGCGCTGTTCCGTCTAGTATTAGTACGCGTCTCTTCCCATCCCGGACGTCAAAAGCGATTGGAGCTGGGAGCACGATTGATCCTTACCTTCTTGACAGAAATCGAACCATATCAGGCATTACGTGGCCCGAAATCGATGTCTGCGTGCCGCTAGGCGCGCTTTGTTTCCTGATACATTGGTGCAGTCGCGTAGCTCGTCCTGTCAGAATCGCGATGAATTGTATATGCGTGGAGACTTCTGACAGCATAATGATCGAGGAAATCGGATTGAAGTTCTGGATGTGTTTGCGTAATGAATGGAGGCATAGCCCAGAGGTGTGCGCCCGCTCTGCAATGAAGGTTCTGCTGGAGACAAGAACGACGCTCGCGGAGTCAATTATTATATATGATCCTCGATACCAGTCAATCCAGCTCAAGGCACCTTTAATCTGAGCTCAAGAAGCCGATTCGTGTGGTTGGCTTGTGCGCGGATTTGCGATAAGAAGATGAGCGAGACACCCTTCGCCGCTCAAGTCGTCTCCCTTCCTTGGCGCGAGTAACTATATCTGCCCAGTGCCGGGTACTTCGGCGAGGCTCATTGGGCAACTGCCCTTGTCTGGGAAGCTCGATAGCGGCCTGTTCGTCTATAACAGTCCTCTGTAGCAAAGGTGCGGGGACGTGATTGATGAGTGCACAATTGGACGAGATTCGCGCCAGGCCACATGGGGCAGTGCATTTACGGCCCGAGTTGGTCGATGCAGATGGATATCGAAGGAGGCGAAGTGACGTCCGATTCTTCTCCAGCGATGAACAGTTAGCCTATGTGTGCGATTGCATGTAGATATGCGAGATAGATTGAAGACGAGGCGGTGTATACGATCTCAAAACGATCGCCTTGTATCATGCGCAGTTGAAAGGCCATGAAACGGAGTATCGGGATTGGCTCGTGACGCACGGTAGGAGGTAGGATGCTGGCTCGGGCCCACCTAAAGCTTGAAGACAGCCGAACATGCCGAACGAGCGCCGGTACAGCCGTAGGCCTGTTCAGAGGCTATTGTCCTGTCTCACCGCAGGCTCCAGCTTCCTCTTCACCTCGATCCGGATTCAGGCCTGGATCTGTTGATCTCGAACGACTATTTCTCTGGACAATATGTCGAGAGAGCTGTACTCCGAAAGAGAGGAGTGGTCCGACGTGACACCCATTGCGCAGTATGAAGATGTAACACCCCTTGCGCCGATCTTCTACGCCGATGAATGTACGTGCCAATCTGAAGGGAGGAGCTGCCGAAGCAGATGCTGATACGCGGACTAGACAGAGACGCGACGGACTACTTTCGCGGAATCGTACGAGCTGGCCAGATGAGCCCTCGTGTGCTCGAACTGACGGAGCACATCATCAACCTCAATCCCGCACACTACTCGGCATGGTGCGCATTCCTGCAGCTAATTTTGTCTCAGATCAACTCAATTGATATGCCAGGCAGTACCGGTACAAGACGCTGATCTCGCTCAAATCACCTCTCGACGATGAGCTGAAGCTCATGGACGAGATCGCGCTCCGATTCCCGAAGACGTATCAAGTTTGGCACCATCGTCGACTTCTCCTCACCGCACTTCGCTCGTCCTCCCCGACGTCATCAGTCGATAACGCTAAGTCGGAGCTTGGGTTCATCGCGCGCTGCCTCGACGATGATGCGAAGAACTATCACACGTGGTCGTATCGCCAGTGGCTCCTCGCACACTTCAACGAGGACGCGTTATGGGCGGGGGAGATGGAATGGGTGGAAGGAATGTTGAGGGACGATATCCGGAACAACTCCGCCTGGCACCATCGGTTCTTCCTCGTGTTTCAGTCTGGCGCGCGAACGGGCGACGAAGACAGAGAGGCAGTTCTACAGCGCGAACTCCGGTGCGTGTACCTCAACTTCATCACGTAACTTATCTTGACTCTGGAAATCAGATACGTCAAAGACGCGATCGGACTCGCCCCGAACAACGCGTCCGCATGGAACTACCTTCGCGGCGTCCTCGACCACACGAACACCTCATATGATTGCGTGCGGATCTTCGTCGAGCCGTACACCGTCGCACGTTCTTCAGCCGACTACGACGAAGTTATTGATCTGGATGATCCCAGACCGCAGGCTGGGGCGCAACTACCTTGCCCGGCTGCCATCGAGTTTTTGGCCGATACGCTGGAACAAGAGGGTGGGGAGGACAACGTGAAGCGTGCTGCTGCTGTGAGATAAACTGTTTCGTTGTTTTCCGTTTTGAACCACCCTGACTGATCGTAAATACAGCATTACAAATCCTTGGGCGACGAATACGACACGATTCGCAAGAAGTCAGTCCTTTCACGATATGTTCTATACCACAAACTTGCTGATCTGCATGCCTTCACAGATACTGGGAGTATCGGATCAAGGAGGTATTGGCCGCGGCGTAGACAGAACATTAGCAAGACCAACAGAAGGATCTGGCACGCCGGGCGCTTGTATAGGCTGTGTAGTACCACAATTGTATGACGCTCAGTTGCCCGAGGAAGACCAACAGGAAGCCTCCGTGGCATGTATTCTATGTATCATCCCAGCGTCAAGTCCACAAGATCGATTGTTCCTTGGAAACTAGGCCCGATGATCTGCGCAGGAGCAGCAAACGACATGTTCCCCACTGCCAAGTACTCCCCCCATATGTCCATCAGCGTCGTCCACCACAGCTTTCCATCCTCGTTTCCGTCGATCACCGCGTAGGTGTACTCCCTCGTAGCACGTATCGTCACGGTTGTCCACTTGTGGAGAGGCAGCGTATAGCGGAGGCTGTAACGTTGCCCGAGCGCCTCGAACGTGAGGTTGCCAACTCGGAGGAGTGAGTCTATTCCAGAGAACAGGATGCCGTCCTGTGACGTGGGCTTCACGCGGAAGGTGAGGTTGTACGGCGGCCCCACGGACGCCACCGACGTGTTCAGAGGCAGCTCGGAGAGGGATTCGTGTGGTTGGTATAGATTATACGAATAGACGACGTTGCCGTGCTTCGGGACCACGACGCGGTTCAGGTTCTGCCCGGGGGCCACTGAATTGAGGATCGGATAGATGCTGTCGAACTCGTCCTGAGTCAGCTCCGTGCTTCGAATGCCTGAACCTGCCCACGTCTTCTCCCCAAAAACGGCCAAGCTCCTAGCGAGTTGGTAGTATATCTCCAGCTGCGTCGTCGCGTTGTTGCCCCAGTCGTTCCAGAGCGCCATGATCGCGCCCCGAAGACGTGGGTTGCCCGGCGTGGTATTGTTGCCTGCGTTCGTGGCGGAGAACACGTTCGGCGCCCAGCCGCCACCGCCAGGCGCACCCGTCCACATCAACGTCTGGTTCAGCTCCTGCGGGAACTGGCCGCCGTCCGACGTCTTCCCATCGAGGTAGAGGAACGTCTGCTCGGAGTTGATCACGTCGTACCCTCGGTCCATGAGCGCGACCGGGATGTCGTCACCCGGGAAATCCCAGTGCTGGATCGTGATGTTCGTGGAGACCGACAGACCGATCTTGCTGGGCTCGTTCGTGCCCCAGACGCGAATGCGCTTGCCGCTCTGTGCATGGATGTAGGAGGACATGTCGTCGACGAAGTTGATGTAGTCGTCAGCGAGGGACGCGTCGTACTCGTCGGCGCCGATCGAGACTTCGCTGGCAGAGAACCAGGGCAGAAACTCATCCCAGAGGGATTTGATGGTCGGAATCGTATCAGGGTAGGAGAGATTCAAATTGTCCGGGGTACCCTGAATCATCAGGTCCGGCTTCCACTGCGTGATGACCAGCGAGTGCCCCGGGGTATCGATCTCGGGAATGATAGTGACGCCATGTTCAGCACAGGTGGTTTGCACTGCCGTAAACTCTTCGCGCGTCCAGGTTTCGTTGCGTTTCGAGCTCGGTACGATCCCAGAGACTGGTGATCCATTTTCGGGTTGGAAGCGGAATCCGGCGTACACCTCCTTCCAAGCGTCCCCGGGGCTGTACAGAAACGCCGGGTTCCAGAGGTTGTCAGAGGCGTGGATGTGGAACTCGTTGATCTTGAAGAATGAGGCGTAGATGCAAAGGTCGGCTGGGACAGTGTGAGGGAAGGGTTAGACTCAACGATGTGCTCATTGCTGATGGAAAGGCTTACTCAGGAAGGAGGTTTCAAACCAGTGACGGCCAGCGTCGAGCATGAAGCCCCGCACCTCCCAGCCGGGGACGTCGAGGCCGCTCCCAACGGAAACAAGATGGGAGAGTTGGCCGCCTTCAAGGGTCTTCACAGATATCATTTGAAGGAAGGTTCTAGAGCCCCACCAAGTGCCGATTGCTCCGGAGCCGCATATAATGACTTCATTCGAGTTCACGTTGAGTTGGTACCCTTCGGAGCTGGAACGGCCGTTATTGTAGGTGAGGTTGATGCTAGTATCGATGGTAAGAAGAATGGATGGCTGGCTTGAGTTGGCCGCGTCTCGATCGAGGACAGCGTATGGCAAGCGAAAACCGACAACGTCCGCCAAATCGTTTAGGAACGTCCGAGCGAAGTCCTCCAGAGTTGGAGTTCCCGAATTAGACCGTTTCCCATCCACAACTACTCTTGTATGGGGTGTGATCCGGAAGAACGCAGATGGCGAGTCTTTCGTATAGTTCATCACGGACGGTATCTGGGCCACTACTGAACCAAGAACCTGAAGGACCAGAGAGATGAAGAGGTATCTTCTTTCCATATTCTCTCGCACCAGTGCACCGAGTTGGCGGTTTTTCTCGTCCTGCGTAAATCTGAGGAGTATCGAGTATCAGAGTCGGATAGCAAGTTGAATCCATGGCAATGACCCATTATCCTAGATCATGCTTGCGATAAGGGATGTTCGCGTAGCTGAACAGTTGAGACTCCCTGATAAGACCGAGGTCATGCGAGCGTATGGTGTGGCTTCTTGACTCAGTGCGCATCTTCGACGCTTCGGACTGCATGCAGCATGGGATGATGGAAGAGGTTAAGTCCGAGTTTGTACTTGTTTTGATAACCTCGATCAAGGACGTGGGAAACGCTCTCGACGATGGGACTCGCTGATGCGCCCGACGACGATGGGCGCTGGTCCTTTCTTCATCGCGTTGACCTACGACATTTGGCGTCTTTTGCTTGCCAACGATGCACAGTGAGGATTGGGATATGTTTACAATGTAAGTTGTATGTTCACTCAGGTGCAGCGCTCAAGGATAAACACTCAATCGTCCACAGCCATCCTCATTGCTTTTCTTGTTCTTGCCCTCCAGGGGATTTCGACACCTTTCTCGCGGCACTCACAGAAGAGCGTGCTTGCTATGTTGAAGGCCTTCAGGCTCAGATAGAGCAAGTCGGCAGCGAGTTTATCGCCCTGGTGGATGTCGTTGCATCTCCTGACCACTGCAGATCATGCTCGTGCCCTCTGGTCATGGGCGCGGACCTATCACCTGTCAAGAAGCGAACATCCGATTGCATGAAACACTTACACGAGCTTCTGACGCCCCTTCATCAGAGTCGCCAAGATATGTTCTCTGTTCGTATTGAACACAACGCATCAAGGCCAGTCAGCCGTCTCCCATTTGAGCTGCTTCAGGCCATCTTCATCCTGTCCCACGACTCTCCCACATCGTCCTCCATTGTTTCGTGGCAAGGAGCCGATCACCGTCCCCAGTTTCACTGGCCGTCCGCGCTGGCGCAGGTTTGCGGCATCTGGCGGCAAGTGGCCTTGAACACCTCCACCCTCTGGACCAGTTTGGAAGTCTGGGCATTCCCGACGCTCGCATTTCACATCTCAGAAATCTTTCCAGAAGAACCCCTACGTATCTTTCACTACGGGTTCGACCTCTTTGGGGACGAGTCACTCAGAACGCTGTCCGCGATTATCGCCAAAGATCGTGCTCGGATCGTCGAGCTCGGTATCTACCTCATGGGACACTCCCACATCAGCATGGATGTCATCCTGGACATGTTCCAAGGATATGCCCCCCTCCTACAACGGCTGGTCGTAGATACAGCAGGGGGGCTGGCACTCCATAGTCGCGACGAACTCGTCAGAATTGAAACGCGCCTATCGAACATTCACGCTCCAGCCCTTAGCAACTTGAAACTGCGCTGCCTCGCGTCGCCCACGGTATGGAAATCTAAGCTCATACGCTCTTCCGCGCTATCCCATCTGTCCATCGAGCACATCCATACGGTGCATCGGATCCCGAAGCCCACTCTTCACGAGATCCTGATCGCTTTGGAACACATACCGTCCTTACAGGTCTTGCAGCTCGCACACTGCCTGGAACACGAAATGGGTGGAGTGATATCACGGAGGCAGCCGAATATGTGGTGCCTCCGCGAACTCGAAATACGGGATAGTTGCTGCGGATGCACCAACATTTTTAGGAACCTGACGCTTGCACAACCCTTGACACGGCTCGCCCTGAGCTGCACGTCTAGTCGGTGCCCAAGATGTCCCGAGCTTGCCGCCGAGCTGTGGCAGCTTGCGGAAAATGGCTGCGATCTGCCGGGGGAACTGGAAATGGAGATAGACTGGGCGAACTCGTACCAGCTCGTAATCCGCTGCCGCCACGACGCTCTTGTTACCAAAATCCGCGATCCATTCTATATTGAGATGCAAGACCAAACGGAGTACGACGTATGGAACACGGTCTGTCATCTGGGGCCGGTTCTACCAAGTGGAAGGATCACGAAGTTGACGTTATGGGGGGTTCGCCCTTGGTCGCATCCACACTCAAGCTTCAGAGATGTTCTTCGCCGCTGGACATCTATAAGGAATATATCAGTCCATTGTCGCGGGGCAGCTATTTCATTGCTACAAGCTTTCCGGGCCCCGGAATCATCCATGCCCGAACTCGATCGGTTGAACTGGGTTCTTCCGAGCCTAAGTGCGTTGACCATATGCGACGTTTGGAATTCGTCTCATCAAAGTGTTGATGGGTCGTGGCTCGACATCTGCCACGACGAGGTAGAGAGGCGTCGTCGCGCGAAGGGAGAGGATAGCGAGCCGACGTTCAGATTTCTCAGCATCCAGAGGTGTGCCGGTATCTCGCAGGAAGCACTGGCTGCGCTAGAGAAGATTGTACCCTGCTTGCATGTCGCACATGGGGGAGAGTATGTCTGTGACCCGGAAGACGAATATATGTGAAGATCTGTTTGTTCAATTACCGTTTCTGATTACTTCCGCAGATCCGTCGCATCATCGCCAATGTACATCTTGTTTCTCATACATCTTGGGCCAGTAATACGTGCAAATTCCTATCGTTTTCCTCGATGAGCTATATGCACGCGGGTACTTTCACATATACTCGTCGTCGTCTGAATCCGAAAAGTAACCTCCCCCTCCCTTCACTTGAAGGTCCTTAACCGACCTTGCCAACACAGCTAGCCCTTCATTCGTAATCCCATCGCACCTCTTGAAGCAGAGCGTCTTAAAATTGGGCTCGCCGTCCTCCCTTTTGACCTTACATCGCCGCACTATCTCGTTTCGACAGAGTTCAAACCACGAGATGTCCATCAGGAAAAATCGGAGTATCGAAAGAGTTGCTTATTGGGTACCGAAACCCTCTAAAGCCACTAAATGAGCACGTTTTAGTATGTTTTAGGAGGCTTTTATCAAATCCGGTTTTTCCTGATGTCGCTACTTGACCATCGCAGGTTCTCCCACGTGGTGATGTCGCTAACAGTCATCGATGTCAGGTCTGGGAGGATCATTCGGGAGCGGTCGAGCTGGGATGCATCGTCGGTACGCAGTGCTTTCAGGACGGCCATCGTAGCCCCGCGGTGAGTGACCGAGATATCTGATACAGAGCTCCAACGTCCCAATGCGTCTCTCAAGGCGACATCCGGATGTGACCAAGGACGAGCACCCAAGAATGCGATCGCTATGACTCTAGCAGGAGGGATGACGTTCTGGAGCCGACCAAAGATAGCCCATATGTCGTCGTCGACTTGACCTTGAAACTGCAAAGCGGAGGGGTGGAGATACGGATCTTTCCGAGGGAGGTCACGACCACGAACGACGACCTGACAGCAGTCCGACCAATCCACCTGGAGGAGCAACTCTCGTGGCACATCGCAGGTTGTTTCGGCGACCTTCCAAAGTTCCGGTACGAGTTCAACGCATCTGGGGCACTGGTAGGCGCCGCAGCTAAATGAAAACCGCCTGAGGTGCTGCGCAAGCACGACGTTTCCGAGTATGTTCATGCAGTCGCAGCAATTCCCCCATATTTCGAATTCGCGTAGGGAGCGCAGATTTGGCTTTGCTCGGGATGCCACTCCTCCGGGTTCGTGCATCAGACAGTTGGAAAGATGCAATGTCTCCAAGCACGGCAAGTGGTCGAGGATGTCGAGGATGTCGGAGGAGGAGGCTCTGGGTTGTTGACGTATGATTGGGATGTTTACGAGGAATAGGAAGCGAATATTAGGAGAGCGGAGCAGCTGAGAATCGAACATTGATGGAAAGATCAGACACTGCATCCTCAAGTCTCGAAGCGCGGGGGCGCAAATTTTGGCGAGACGTGATTCGAATTCGCAGACTCGTTCGCCATTCTCGTTCAGCGACACTCCCGATGTGTCGATATCGAGCCGCTCCAAGGCAGGAGCTGATTCTTGAAACTAATCAATCACCGTGTCCATCCCCATATATGAGCACTTCCTGTCCGGTATATCCCGAGCTCGAGGATACGCGCGCGATCGTTTGCGATGATCGTGGTCATCACGTTCAGAGGGCCACTCCCAGCACCGTCAGTTGCGGCGTAGAAGAGGCGCAGATGTTCCTTGGAGTATCTTTCCGCGAGAGCGAGAGAGAGCGTCGGGAATGTGGAGACCGTCAAGCTCGTCCAGAGAGACGGGATGTCCAGAGCCACCTGCCGCCACCTGCCGCACACTTGGGCAAGAACGATGGGCCAGTGGACGTCCGGCACCACGTGGTTATACGTATCCGGAGGTTCGAAGAAAGGCGTAGGAGGGTCGTAGGACAGGACGAAGATCGCTTGGAGCAGCTCAATAGGAAGGCGATGGACGGGAACTGATGCATTGTGATCAACGCGCAGTGCGAACATCTCTTCGCGAGCCTGGCGCAGCCGATTCAGTAACTCCAGATATTGATCATGGTAAATAGTGATCTGAGAGCGGGGCGTAGAGGCACTCTCGTCCGGGTCCTGATAGCAGTGGCACAACTGGCAATGGCACTGATGGCGGTCGATGCTGCTCTGATCGCGACTTGCATAACCCTCAGCAACAGCCATATCACAGCGTTCGGTGATGCTCTCTTGAAGCTCCTCGACGCGGCGAGCGTTTCCTTCTGAGAGCGTTGCAAGCAAAGATGCGAAATCGTCCGGAGAACAGGCACAGGAGTGGCAATGAGGATGGCTGAAACCGCATGCTTTCAGTGACAGTGCGAGCACTTCCATGGGACAAGATTTTACTGCTTACATTGTCAAGGATCGCGGCATTGCACTACCGTGTACTCCAGCGGGCGATACGAAGAGGTCCAAGGTGGCCCTGTTTCATTCTGGGATATGGCTCGCACGCACCGCCACCGGCAGCACAGATGACCGGCCGGCAAAATAACGCGCTTTGCGCAGCTACTTATATCTATCCCGTGTTACCCCACACTCACCAAGTACATACGCGACGCTCACCCCCAACGCGCACCAATCCCAATCCGCGGTTGTGCTGAAAGACGGTTTCACAGCTACGGGTCCCCACCATCGAGCGACTACTCGTTCCTGCGGACGTACTCAGTACCCACTTCTCCGTCAGGATCCTACGAGTCGTCCGGAACCTATTCGAAGTTCAATAGACAAGCGAGCCGAGGGGGTTGATCAGTACGGGCTCCGTCAGTACACATGTCTGCGATGTCTGAACTTGCTCTGAAAAGGAAGGAACCACTCTAAAGTCTTCGTATCGCCTAGCGACGCTCGCAACGTAGGATTACAGCAGGATTATCATGGCGTCTTCATCTACGCTCGCCTTCACTCCCATTGAGGAGATTGATAGGGTGAGACGACCCGCTTGTTGTTGGCTCACGTGAATACGTCGAATTGATATCTGCGACCACTCTGCAGATTCACGCCCGCCTCCACGCGGGTTTCAAAACCGGCACCCTGAAGTCTCTCGGAAAACGCCAAGATCAGCTTCTGCAGCTCGCATACATGCTCAAGGAGAACCAATCGGCGTTTGAGGAGGCCTTGGCGAAGGATCTCGGTCGTCCAAAACTGGAGACCAACTTGTGCGTTTTCCCGCATGACCGTCGTCGGGGTTTGACGTACATTGACTCTCACGAATAGCCTGGAGGTCGCTCCCCTGATCAACGAAGCTGTCAAGACGATCAAAGACGTCCCTAAATGGGCCGCGCCGGAAAAACCGCCGTTCAATATCAACTTTTTCGCTATGAAACCCGTCATCCGTAAGGAGGTGAAGCATGGACACTTGCGTTACTTCCGAAATGATCGCTCAACAGGAACATGTGGCGGGGGGCATGGGTTTTCCAGGCAAAGGGCGTTGTTCTGATCATCGCTCCGTTCAACTACCCATATTTCCTCACCATCGGGCCACTCGTACGCAATCCCTTCGTGCGCCGCACGGACGTCAGATAACGAAAGATATGTTCACCATGTTAGATCGGCGCAATTGCAGCAGGAAACGCATGCGTCGTCAAACCATCCGAGCTCACGCCGACCTGCTCGCAGCTGATGGCTGATTTGTTCCCAAAGTAGGTGTTTCTTACGTCGCCTTTGAGATCGATCCTTGCTCTCGTGTACTACCGATGCCTCGTCTCAGATATCTGGATCCGGACCTGTACGCCGTTGTGAACGGTGCCATCCCCGAGACGACCCGTGTAAACTTCCTTTGTCTCCTACTCTCATCTCTATGCCATGATTGACGACAGCATCGTTCTTAGCTTCTTGAACTGAAGTGGGACCACATCCTGTACACCGGTAACAGCAGGGTAGCGAAGATCGTGGCTAAAGCTGCGGCGGAACGTCTCACGCCCGTTTCGCTCGAGGTATTCGTCCATGAAATACCTGTCCTGCGCCCTACCTACTGACACCGTTCCGTAATATCACGGAAAGCTGGGTGGAAAGTCGCCCGTTTTCGTTGATCCCAACTGCGACCTCAAGATGACCGCGCGAAGGCTGTTATGGGGAAAAGTGGCCAACGCTGGTCAGGTGCGTTTTCTCTACCTCTGTTTTTCGTGTGAAGTAGGATGTTCATCACTCTACATCATTCGCGCCTTTCCAGACGTGCGTCGCGCCAGACTACGTCCTCGTCCCGCGCGAGTTCCAGGATACGCTCGTCAAGGCGCTCGAGGATACGTGCGTGACGGTCAACTGACCTCTCTCGCCGCATTCCGTTTCGTCTGATTCTACTCGTCCAATAGATATAAGGATTTCTATCCTGAAGGACCCGCCAAATCCGACTCCTTCTCTCGTATCGTTTCCGGAAATCATTTCAATCGGATCAAGAAGCTCCTCGACGGCACCCAGGGACAAGTCGTGCTCGGTGGCGACACGAACGAGGGCGACAGGTACATCGCACCGACTGTCGTGAAAAATGTGCCTACGTCCGACTCGCTCATGTCCGAGTGAGTAACGCATAGGTTGCTGGTGATCCAGGCGACGCTGACATATCCACTTGTCCTTCAGCGAGATATTCGGGCCACTCCTTCCGATCGTTCCTGTCAAGGACTTGGATGAGGCCATCGCTTTCGTGAACAGCGGGTTCGATCCTACAGTCCCTGGCTTTATGCCTACTTTTTGAACAAACTGACAAATAATCCCAGAGACCATCCGCTGGCGCTCTATGTGTTCTCCAACGATGCTAAGACCAAGAAGAAGGGTGCGCTCATATGGCTGGATGCATAAGAGGACATCACTGATCCGGTCCGCCTTGTCACACAGTGTTTGACAGTACGCAGTCAGGTGCAGCATGCGCCAACGAGCTCATCATCCATATCGGAGGTTCGTTCCCTGCGGTCTTCTGATCTTTCTGAACGTCAACTGACTGTATCTCTCGCGTATATAGCGGAAGGCTTGCCATTCGGTGGTATTGGACCGAGCGGCACTGGCTACCACACGGGCAAATTCACCTTCGACATGTTCACGCATCTCCGCGCAAGCATCGACTCTCCTGGCTGGTAAGGACTCCATGCGCTAGGTCCTCTCTGGCGCCATGGTAGACTGACTGTGCCGGGCTCCTTTGCAGGATCGACATGATCCTCAACTTCCGATTCCCGCCGTACACGGTGCGCCATCGATGCCCTCATTCGCTCTCACCCTTCGTGCTGACCGATCTCTTTCCTTTACGCCAGGCAAAGAAGGAACGGGCGCTCGCGCGCATGTTCCCGACGAAACTGCCTAGACGCGACGCGTACTCGAGCGCAAAGGCAAGCTCGAGCTCGGTGTCGACATGGAAATGGACGCTGTTCTCACTGGCCCTGGCAGTCGCAGTGTTAGTGGCGAGGAGGAACGGTAAACTGAGAGTATGAGGTATTATTATTTTTGGCTTGCACATTGGGATGGAACACTTTGGCCCTCGTGAGATAAACTCTGCGTATAGCTATCGACGGCTAACGACGAACGCGGAAGAACTCATTCGTGCTGCGTGGTTTCTGTAGCCATATCGCGAGTTCCTGTCTTGATAACCATATTCGTATGTAACGCCGATGTTTTGCTTTTACTCTGGACCTCCGGGGGCGACTGCCGGTGTCGCGCGCGCAGTCGCGTCAAAGATCGGAGCGCAAACACACACAGGGAAACATTGTCGCGCGAGGATAGCAGAGGCGTTTGCGTTCGTGTGCGCGGAAGTGGGAGGTTACCTTGAGCCGGCGCGGAGCGGACTTCCGCGAGACGCGACGATGACGTCGGGGATCGTCGGCCCACCAATCTCGACTTACCCCAGCCTTAAGTCTCCACGTCCCACAGTCGCACTGCTGCCCGATCTGCTGCCCTGTCTCCACTGGGAGACAGGACAGCAGATCGGGCAGCCGCTCAGAGGGGCATACGTTTGCCGGTGTGTCGCATTCTCAGCCCATCGGCGAGCCTTTTACGGGGTGCACTCTGACTGGATTCGGAGCGTCGCTTTTTTCACCGGATGGGAAGCAACATCGCCTCTGGATCCAGCGATGGCACGATTCAACTCTGGGACGACCGAGACAGGCCAGCAGCCAGTCGGGGACCCGCTGCGAGGCCACGATAGGTCCGTTTGTGGTCAGTCGCATATTCCCTCGATGGCGCGCACATCGTCTCGGGCTCCTAACGACATGACGATCCGGATCTGGGACGCTCAGACAGGACAGACGGTGCTGGGGCCATTGCAAGGGCACGAAAACGAGGTTACCTCCGTGGCATTCTCGCCGGATGGCAGGTACGTCGTCTCCGGCTTCTACGACGGCAGGATCCGGATAATGGGACGCGCAGACGGGACAGACTGTGGCGGGGCCTTGGCAAGCTCACGGTGCTCTTATGGGGGTTCTCTCCGTCGCGTTCTCGCCCGATGGCAAGCACCTCGTCTCAGGGGGTGATGACAACGTGAAGATATGGGACGCAGAGGTCGATTAGGCCAGCGTGGTGTGTCGGGATGGGGATCGTTTTCGAGGTGCGTATCCGCTTTCGTCGTGCATGGACCTCCCTGACGAATCAATGGTAGTTGATGCTGTCGATTCGCGTCCACCGGCTAGAAGCGCATGAACTGGTCGTCACCCACGAGACATCATCCATACAGCGATGATTATTGTCTTGGAAATTGTCAACGGTTTGAAAGGCGCCCCAGAGACCGTTCACGCGACTCAGTGGCCGCCGTGTTTCCATACCCAGATCTTCCAAGGTGCGGCACGTACCGTACGCCCGTGTATATTTGCATCGGTTGCCCGTTCTCGTCGACGGCAGTGCCCCTTATGTATCATGCGCCACGGATAGAGTGGTCGATTGGGAGGCGACATCATAACATCCATCCGACAACTACATACAGCCGGGGGGGGGGGCGAATAATTAGGGTGTTCAGGGGAAAAGAATGACCGCGTCGTCGCACATCGAAGTTCCTTCTATCCGTAGAGAAGGGGCGTCCGAGCGCAGGCGATTTGACAGCTTTTGGTGCGACGATATCGAGCGAGGAGGAGGCGTATTGGCGAGGCCATGACGGGGCGGCATGTCCGAACTCAGATCCCTCTTGCTTCGCGGGCGGCGGCAGGCGAATCGGAGAGCTGTGTGACATGAAAAGGTGGCTCTAAGGCTGTCGGCGACCACAAAGCTGCCGCGAGGGCACATGGGCATGCCCACCACCAGCTTGAGCATAATCCCGGGATTGCATAGTTATCGCCTTTGCAGTGATGACACACGGCTTGAATAAAGAAGTGTGTGATTACAGCATCAAGCCCCTGACGACTACAACCCGTCCGGAACCTTTGAACGCGGGCGTAGAGATTACTCGGAGTCGCTATGTCCTCGTCTGCAGCTGTGGATGAGAGAACCTGGCAACATTATCAGGAAGGATCAAGCGTACATTGGTCATCGTTGACGTTGTAAGCTTGTCTTCGCAGAGCGCGCCTGATTGCGTCCCTTCGTCGAAGTCAATGTTTCGCTTCGGCCCAGTGAACCAGTATCTGCCCCCATACACCGGAAGGTAGAAATACATTGTCGACAACGCCAGTACGCCACCTGTAACAACCACAGCATAGTTCATGGTTGCTGCGCTCGGATTCGGCGAGGTTGGGAACAGCAGCATGACGACCACAAACAACATCCACAAAACCGATGTCGCGGCTATAGGAAAGCTCTGTTCGACGGCGCAGGATGCATAAGCGGCAAGTGCGAGTAAACGAGGTTGACGTCTACGTACGAGTCGTCCGAGAGAGAACGGGCCGGGTTTGAAGTCGTTCTTGAACACGAATCTGGTCGCGATCGGGATGATATACGTGATGTAGAGCGACGCGATGGCCATCGTAAAAAGCGCAGATATCGCAGCGCTACCAGCGAACGCTAAAAGACTGACGAGCATGGCGATGGCGCAGACGAACCACACGCAGTTGACGGGCGTGTGCGTAAAGGGATTGATCCTGTACAAGAGCCCGGACACAGGAAGAGCGCCATCCCGAGCGAAAGCGAAGCACTGCCTCGAAGCTACAGTCAACTTCAAGTCAAGAGTCAGTTCTAGATTGGCCCACATATGCTGGATGAGCGCTCACGAGACTCGTAGCAGCCATATAACTTGCAGTCTGTCAGCGAAGCGCAGGTATTGGGAACGATCCGCGACTGACAAAGTTATGGCAAGGATCGACCAAACCGCCAACACGCCTTTCTTGCCGAAACTGTTGAACATGATCTATCGCTAGATCGGCGATCGATCGACTTCTCACACATGCCGACTCACCACAGCCATGGGTTGTCCAATAGGACTGCCCACAATCCCAGCGATATCCGTACCCATGCAGAACACGAGTGCGATGACGGTAGCTATCATGCAAAGCAGAATTGAGCTGAAGATTTTCGCTGTCGCAGCAATAATAAATATCCTTACCCCATCCGATGATACTTGCCATGCAGATGGCTATCACCATAGCACGCGGGACCATGACGTTAGCATTGGAAGCCTCTTCAGACACGTGTATGGGTGCATCGTATCCACCTGACGGATCGTTCGTTCGTCACGCTTGAAAGAGAAATGGATATAAGGCGACATACCTGTCGCAAACAGCGGAGACAGAAAGCTGAGCAGAAAAGCCACACCGTCTCGCCAACCGCTCGCTGCACGACAGACGGGTCAGACGACGTAGATATGATACGATGGAAGGAGCTACAATTCTCGAAGTGTCCAAAAACGTATGCCGGCCTGTTGATGAGTTCTCTCGGGGTGCTTATGGGCAAAGCGATGATCACCGCGAGGAACAACCTAAGAAATGCCAGTGCGTGTCAGCTATACCTTCTCACGGAGAGTAAAGCCCGGCTTACAAGATATTGAACGTGATGTATACCCATTGCGCACGGGCAATGACTTTCGTGGCAACGCTGCTCATAGTCGCTTCGGATATTATGAGAGCGCATGACACCCCGCTGTGAGGTTAGTCATCAATAAGTAGAGTTCGAGCGCGTATGTAATGAGGCAAGGCCCGTACTATAGCTGTGCGGTCGTTGGGTTCCATGCCATGTCGGTGCCAATGCTCACCGCAGCGCTAACCATCAACGCGAGAGCCCAGTTTCCAGCCGACATCATGGTGATGTACGCTAAAGTATTCGCGTCTAAAGCGGCAAAACAGATAAACGTGAGATTCGTGAGCATTGGTATATCAGCATGCACTCACATCCGACGAGCCACGCTAGCAGATTCCTCCATCTCGGGCTAGCGAATCTGTGCGTCCAGTAGTACAGGCCCCCGGAGGTGGGTGCTGCAGAGGCGAGTTCCGCCAACGCCAAGGTGACGCAGACGCTGAACCCCGATACCACGACCCACTACGAAACGGGCCATCGTCAATCAGTGCATCTCTTAACGTGCGAAAACCGACGAAGGTCTCTCACGCCCCAGACCATCGCAACTGGACCGCCATTGGGAAGTGAATATACGAGGACAGAGCTAGGGATCTCGTTAGACGCAGGGCGTCGAATGTAAAGGGTCCACATACGATAGGCCGGGGACGATACAAATGAGGGAGAAGACCACTCCAAACAGCTCGATTGGTCGGAACGCGCGTCTGAATTGTTGCTTATATCCGAGCGCAGCCAGGAGCTCCGCGTCAAGATCTGTAGACGCCAAGGAGCGACCGTCATCTTTCCCTGAAGGGGCGCCGACGGGCACGATAACGGTATGAACAGCTTTGACCTTCTCGTCCATCGCGACAGGGACAAACAGTGTGGACAATGAGCTCGAGCACTCGAACGAGAACGGCGGCTTATCAGCTCGTCGCACAGAATACGAGCATATATGGGTGGAGCTTCCTTCATATCGAGGCTCTGAAACGCGTTCGGGATATTAATAACATCGTGGCGCGGCAGATGCAAAGGGCTGACCAAGCTTATCTGGTCCTGGAGGAAAGGTTCCGCGCAGTGGTCACAGGCCAAGCGCAGGGTTTCGGATTTTGAGAGGCTTCGTGGGCAGGACGAACACGAGGAAGGCGTGCAAGGTTTGACAAATGCAGACGTATCGCGCTGCGAACCTCGATACATTGAATTGGAAGTAATTCGGTACGATTATCGCCGGTACGATAAGGATGGAAATGATCTAAACGTTAATAATGAGTGTGAAAACCCTACAGGATATACTCAAACATGAGAGAGTAAATCACCCTGGTGAGGCACTGCTCGTATGGATGGCCCAAGGTTCGGAGAGAAGGCGGAGACCAAACTCTACTGAGTCTAGGTGACCGTGGCGGAGAGAAACGAATATTTGTCTCTCGACCTTGAATACGACGTGAGCTGGCTGCGAATCAGAACAATTTGGATTTTGTCCTTGTGCTGGACCGCTGTCAAGGCCGATGGTAACTCATACCACTCCGGCATTCCAGTCGCTCAAAGCATGGGCGCGGTACTAATTCGAGATAGCGAGAGTTGTAGAGGAGCATGTCGTAGGCACATCGAGATCAAAGACCAGGACATACTGGTTATCGTACTCACGGCGGAGAAGCTGGCTGTCAGACACTGGAAACGGTAAATCAGGTATTTCAGACTCTGCGGTAGATGCGGTCACCACGGAACCCTCGGAGCTCGGAGCGACAAAAAGAGACCCGGCCGTGTACCACACCATCGCAATCCAAACCAACGACCGGTAAGAACATCCGGATAATTCGCATGCCACGTCGAAGCCCAGCATGAAGGGGGAAAGATCAAACGACTCCCGTAGTGAGCGCTTCTCGCATCCAATCCATGCGCCCACACGCTTGTAAGTTTCGATGTCGATGCACTCGAGATCAGGGTAGGTAGGCAAGATCACGACCATGAGTGTTCGGGTTCAAGTAGCGAAGACGCAGACGACGCGTGCGGTGCAAGGCGTCGACTTACATAATCTGCTACTCCCCGCCAACACAACATTCCCGACATTTTCTTTCACCATCCACCGGCCCATAAGTCGATACGAACTCTGAGTGTGCATGTATAAGGATGGGAAATCTATAGTCAGTGCTGTCAACGTCTCTTTTCTCTAATATCTGTTTCATCTGACCTGCACTTCTGCCATCGTCTTCAGCTCGCCACATTGCTCGCGCTGCCTATGTCTTCCAGGCGATCATGAAGATCCCAATCAAAAGCTCTCATGAGAACGGAGAGAGCTGCTACAGGGAGCTGGACGACGTATGGCCCAAAAGCGCGATGAAATATCCGTCGATTGCGCCACACACAATTCTGCCACCATCGCCGATTCCGAACATTGCACGCCATGTCTGTGCTTTACAATCGGTAGCGGATCGGGCTTGGATAAGGCTGCAAACGATCGAATTCAAGCTGGTCAGGTTCTTTGGCAACAGCTCAGAGACACGCGCACGGAACTTGTTGTCCTTCGCACAGAACATAACATATCCGTCCCTATCAACAATCTACCAATTGAAGTTTTGGTTCGTATCTTCGCCTCGCCCTTTGATTCGCCTGCCGGGGAGAACTCGGTCTTTCGACATGTTCGCAATGACGTTTCCGATGGGAAATGGGCCTTGGCATTCACGCGTGTTTGCGCTTTCTGGCGCGCTGTAGCGTTGGATACGCCGACTCTTTGGACCTTTCTGAAGCTTCCAGATACGCCTCCACAAGCAGTGGCTCTATTCGAGCGCTTTGCGAACTACCCGCTCCGTGTGCTTTTCGAGACCTACAACCGCGATCCAAATCTCAATACAGCAACACTATCTCGAATCGTCTCCGACCACTCCTTTCACCTCGCAGAAATTCGTATGAGAGTCAACAAGGATAAATAAACCGCCTTCTGATTGCCATAGCCGCCTTTAACGACGACGCTCCAGCCCTTACAACGCTTGAGATTCGTTTGAGTGATTATCGTGGCGGGCGTGATGAAATCTGCGAAGCACTCGACCGTTTTCTCTGTAAACTACACACCCCGTTACTGGAGTCTCTGACCTTGGCCTATCCCGGGGCGCTTTCTGTTTGGAAATCGGGAGTCCTGTACTCCAAGTCACTGCGCCAACTCTCCCTTGATTACGGCCGTTACGATCGGATTGTCCCGGAACCCGGTTTATATCCTGAACGTTCTCCAACAACTGCCCGTGTTGGATTCATTGATCCTGGCAAGCTGCCTGTACTGTCCCGGAGATGATGTCCGAGGGATACTCTTGGTTTGATGATTGCCGCAAAGAGCTAGAGATGCGCTGTAGCTTCAAGGGCGAAGATGGCGAACCCGTGTTCAGATCGGTCACGTTCATCCGTTGGGAGGGCATTTCGGAGCAGGACTTGGACAAACTCAGAAGGGCTGTTCCAAAAGCAGTGGCCACGGATCGTCGTCACCGTTCTCATACAAAGCGCAGCGTCATGTAAGCTGCCCGTTGTATGCAGTATTCCGATTATCCATCGCAATACCATGCTCTCAAGGCACGAGAGAAGGCGTACAGCATAGCGCGGCATTTCGATCACTCGAGCCCCATGCGAGCTGCCTCTGGAGGTGACATTGGTCATTTGGGATTGCGAAAGGTGCATAAAGGTGCAATACGGAAGACCGGTGCCCCTGTGGAACACATGGTGGTTTCGGCGTACTATTTTGCAGGCATTCCAGGGCGAGATCGAGGACTTACATACGGGATGAGATATTGGAGACGGCCTTGCCGCTGCTCCCGCGGGCGAACACGACGGCGCGTGGCGGAAGTGTCTGGTACCGTGAGACCCTATGACATAAACTTGCAAGCCACCTGCACATTCCGCCTGTACGCTCACGATCTCCGCATCTTCAAGACCACTCCCGATACAAAATGGCCGCTCAACGAGGTGCGTGCCGTCGTTGCAGAGACACATGCCACAATTCTGACGCTAACATGTCTTGTTCTATCCAGGTTCGTACTGATTCTCGATCCCTCGACAATATATGCTCACTTGACCAGGTGGAGGCGCTTCCGTGTTGGAAGAAGGCTCCCCCAGTTTGTTGAACCGTCGTCATGGGTCGAGCGAACATCTCGGGTACGTAACTTATGCGTTCCCGCACACCACCTCTTCTTCTATCAAAAGTGGGGGGTAAAGCCGAGAAAAAACGGTGGAAACGGGCGTGGGTGTGTCGGTGTGTCGGGAGACTGCGCAAGATAAGAAGAATTAGCGAGGTATATATATATATATATATATATATGGGAGATATTGGGCTATAAATACGCACACTCCATAGATAACGTCGTCGCGTGTATGAGGTTGGGAGTTGTTGAACGTTGGAACTTCAAGTCGGACCGTCCTTGGTGGTAGGTAGGTAGGAAAGTATGATTCCGGCGCGGTCCCAGACGCGGAACAACCGGTTGCCGCACCACACACGCCGCATACATTCTGGATACATAGGATAGGTTGACACCTCGATGGATTCAATTAATGGAGATTTTTGACTGATGTAAATACACGGCGCATACAACACACGCCAAACAGAGAGAATCGTTACATTCGTATTTCAGACAAGTCGTCGGCGTCTAAGAGATTCTTGATAAAGAAGAGAGAGAGAGAGACAAAAAAGGATATGCCCGAGTCCGTCGTCTCGTTCGTACACATTAACAAACGTTGCCTCGTCTCCACGAAGGCGAGGAGAGAGGATAGGGGGTGGGGGTGGGGGTGGGGTGTGTCGGGCGGCGGCGGGAGGGGAAGGAGAACGATTCACCAACGTCCGTCGCCGGTGAACACGCCGAGTGTGACCCGTCGATCGGCGTCCGACCACGGATCGTACGTGGGCTTGGGCGCCTCGGGCTGCTTCCGCTGCGGTTGGTGTTGTCGCTGCTGTTCGGGGCCGGGCGCGGGCTGGGTCATCGTAGGTATAGGTATCTTCGTTTCCTTCACTGCCGGAGGCGTCGTCGTCTCGCTCTCCGCCTTCCTCGCTCTCGCGCCTCGCCCGCTTCCAGACACCGACGACGTGGACGAAGACGCGGACGCGGACTCGAGCTGCTTCTCCCGCGCACGCTCTCTGAACACCCGCGCGCGCTCGATCTTCTTGTCCTGCCGGCTGCGGGTGATGCCCGGGAAGGAGGCGCGGAGGGCGGCGACGCGCGGGGCGCCGAGGTGCGCGAGCGGCGAGGCGGACAGCGCGAGCAGGGCCGCGATCGTGTACACGTGCGCGTTCTTGTGCGAGCGTGGGTGGGTGGGCTGGGCTTGGGTGAGGCGCGTGAGGAGGGTGCGCGGGGTGAGCGGTTTCGGATCGGGCGAGGGAGCGCGCGGCGGGTCGGACTTGGGGCCTGGAAGAAGAAGAAAGGGGGGGGGATGGGGTAAGTACGGGGATATTGCGGAGGGAGGGGGGGGGGTCAGGAGACGGATGCGTACCGCCCGAGGATCGCCCGCGTGCGGGGGAGGTGGGAGAGAGCAGCTGGCTGTGGTTCTGGCTTGAGAAGGGCCGTTTTGAAGAGAGCGACGAGGCGGTGGAGGAGGACGAGGAGGTGCGCCGGTGGACGGGAACGTATTTGCTGCTGCTGCTGCTGCTGTCTTCGTCCGAGCCGCAGTCGGAGGCGCGGGAGGTGAGCGCGGTCGAGGTCGATGAGGCTCTGGAGGACGCGGCGGAGAAGATGGAGAAGGCGGAGGAGGACGAGGAGGAGGAGGACGAGCGTGCGCGGAAGTAGGACCGGTCGGTGGGTTCGAGCGGCGCGGGGGTGGGCGGGGTGAGGAAGATCGTCGTCGGCGTCGTCATCGTTGCTTAAGGCTGGGCGAAGTGATCAGAGAAGTTGTTCGATTGCGTGAGTGGACGAGGACGAGAGGGAGTAACGTAGCACAGAAACGGGGAGGAGGGGGAGGAGATGTGCGTATATATATATGGGCACCCCGCCGGCCGTCGGACGAACCCCAGAGCAACGTAGCGGGTTCTTGGACGCCCCCTTCTTGGCTTCGCGGTGGGTCCGCAGCAGCGACACCACCTCGAGGTATTGAATGGCCCCCGCCAGTCGCCAGAAATGGGAGACGCCCTTGGCCTGCGTTCAATCTGCACCGCCTATCCTTGGCCGTCGCCTAATCTTAGCCTCGCAGCCTGCGCATAACTTACGTGTGGGCCCGGAGATTCGCGGGTGGGAGAGAAAGGGAGGGAAGGGAGCCGGTGCGCAGACGCGACGGAAAGCTAATCAGGTTCAGGAGCCAAAAAACTGGAAATGTTGGGCAAATGGTTCGACGCAGAGGCAGGGCACGGCAGAGAGGACTCGAGAGGGGGACGTTGTTCCGGCTTCGGCGCGCGCGGCGCCGCAGCAGGGCGCCTTCCTTTTCATTGCGTTTACGTTCCGTGCAATCTCACCCATCTTGTCGGTAAGTAACAAACTTGGCGACTATCTCGTCGCGATCGAAGTCGGGTCCTTGTGAGAACGGAGATACGAGCGAAGGAAGAAGGGCTTGGGGCGCGTGCGATAACCGCCGATAGACTTTCACCTCCCCCTCCAGCCTTGGGAGGATACCAAGGCGCGCAGGCAGGACTCTCAAACCCTCAACATATTCCCCCCCACGCAGTGGAGTCCAAACTTCGTCTTGGCCGGCGCCGTCCATTGCCAAGGACACACGTACAGTAATCTACTACGGGCCCAGGTCGGTTGGCCGCAGCAAAAGCTGTCGAACGGGTTTGGCGTTGCGATTACTTGGTACGTGTACCGCCATCGGCCGCCTTGAAGATAACATGAACGGCGCGCGAGAGGCGGGATGGGGCTGGAAGGAACATCGTGTCATCGAGCGTCTCCATCCCTCGACTTGCGCAGTCAGCTTCGCCTTTTTGTGCGCTCCCCCTTCTCGGTGTCATACGTAGCGTCTCGTAACGAACCCGGGCGTAAGCGGCGCGCAGTCGATGACGATGACGATGCAACGGACGATTCCCATTGGCTCCGCAGCGTGAGAAGTTCAATGTCTCTTCGATATACGCTTGTTTCTTTCACGTTTGCCTGCACGCTCCCTCCAGCCTCTTGTACTTATGACCCTGCAAGAGAAGAGAACCCCACGCGAAGGAGAAAGGTCTTCACTATCCGGGACGCGGATGCGGGGATGACGCCCGCATTGACCCGCTCCACTGCTATTTACGCCATCCTCGCTCTGCCTGTGTACACAACGATACGATATCGGTTTTGAATGTACCCTTTGCTCCGAGTCTATGACGCGGACGATGGAGTCGTGTGTATACATTCCCACCAGTCATCTTTGGCTCTCAGAAGCAGTGATGATGATCGCCGCGCGTATCAGGTGTATGTAACAGATCTCGCTGCTGCCGGTTACTAGGGCAATGTGAAAAAAGCTTCGAGAGATATTTACAGGTGTAAGTAACACGAGGCTGACAGGAGGCTTTATTTACTAGTGTAAACAATGTAACTAATGTAAAGAATGATGCATCACATAGACCGACTCAAATCCGGTCCTAGTCGACTTCCTTCAGGTTCTAACGAGCTATCCTTGCAGAGCTACGTGTAGAATGGTTCACGATCATGTGCGAGCCGCCAGCAATTGGCTCGAGAGACAATATATCGTGAATAAGAGGTGCTGCAACGTTGACATCCTCGTCTGTCTCAAGTGTTGCCTCGCGCAATGAGGACGCGCCTGGAGTTGAAAGACCATCGTCCCAGGCAGTGTCGTCGTTGTCGTTGTCCACGTCTGCGTCGTCAGCATCCAAGTCCTGGTTCGAGTCCGAGTCGTCACTGTTTTTTTGTTACTGATATTGGTGAACCGTCTTCAGCATGTCGGCGTCAAGGTCGTGGAACTTCACCACGAACTTAAGGGGTTTTCATACTTTCTTGGGTTTCCCGCCCTACAACATGGAAAACCGGTGTGAGGTTATGAATCGGCAATACCAGTGAGCACCCCACTCAATGTGAACACCGGCCGCGGAAACGAACCCGCATATGACCTGCTCTACCACACGTACTTACACCTTGTAATGCGATATAGATGGTTCTGACATATATTCTTAAATCGAAGGTTCCTGCGAAGCCGTGTAGATTGCGCTGCAAACCATGATATGTACGACGACATATCCGATCCACCGGACTCGACTAGAACAAAACATTGACTGATTGTTCCTCCAACTGCAGAGGCGCGGCCACATCGTCCGTCACCCGGATCCTCGGCACCATCTTTCTCAGTGCATCCAATCCGCCTTTCGGGATGTCGTCACACCACCTGAAGGTCAGCGACCGGAACACGGGCACCCCGTCCTCCGCCTTCGCCTGGCACCGCAACTCCATTTCGGCCAGGAGCACGCCAAACCACGGGTGCTCCGCGGAGGGGTCGATCCGGTCTTCGTCACTCGCCTGTGACACTTCCAACGAAGCAAGGTTGGGAAGGATCCAACGAGACCTATCGTGCCCGTCTCTCTCCGCGGTTTGGATCGCCCTCAAGAACGAGATGGTGGGCTCTATGTACGTGACGCAGACCTCGCGTATCGTCGACCACCGCTCGAACATCCCCCGCAGGTCCAGATGCCGATCCCAATATTGAGGGTAGCTCCCCTCTAGCGCCAGCGCCGTCGTGCCCGAGCGAATGATATGCGGTACGACGTGCTCGGCGATCGCAAGCACATGGTCGTCCTCGTTCTCGGCCGGGAAGACGAGTGAGATCGGACGGCGGTACGAGTCGCCTCGCCGGACCGGCCGGCCATAATGCACCTCTATGTAGCAATCCTCCGCCCAAAGCTCCAGCGTCACCTCCGGCGGAAGCTCGTCATGGGACTCGAGCGCATGGAACACTTCCTCTGCGCGAATATCGCCCTCGTCCGTGTCGTCGCAGGACAAGGACAGCGACGAAAGCGGCCACGAGAGCTCCAAGTTTCCGAGGATATTGATGCATCCGTTACAGGACCCGACGAGTTTGAGCTCGCGCAGACGAGGAAGACACGCCTTGTTGGGGAGGAGCGTCGGCGGATCGCTCGGCGCCAGCCAACGTCGTATCTGAAGGCTCTCCAGCGACGTGAGGTTTCCGAGTACGTCTAGAATGTTCGCGAGAGAATGCGATCGAGCGATGTCCGTAGGTTCTTCCAGCAAAATAAACAGGTGGCGCAGGCCAGGAGAGCGTATGAGCTGGGTCGCCCATAGAATAGAGGATGAGATGGGGGATATGTGCAGATGCTCGAGCATCGGTGTTCGTAGTCTGAGGAGGCGAGAGTGAATCGTGGTCAATGTATCCCTATCGCCACGGAACATCTGTTGCAAATCGACTCTCATGCTCTTCATAGCGGGCAGAGTATCCGGGAGTGCACCCAGTGCGGTCGCAAGAAGCCTGTAACTTGAGATGGTCCAGAGTCCGGAAATTCGGGCAGCATGTCTCGAAATCACTCTTACGAGTACCGCCGAAGCATTCGGGAGATTGACATAACCCTTGTTCGAGAAGAATATACGCAAGGGCTTGGTAGGATGCTGCTCGGCCATCGTAATCGCGAGCTCGGGCTTATCTGAGATTGGCAGGATGGAGCATAGAGCCGGAGTACCTAGCGCAACTTGGCGCCAGAAGCTGCAAACCTGCGTCAATGCCGACACGTACTCGGAGTCAGGAACCCTATCCCCGTCTCGTCCAAAGTGTTCGCACTGGGGCGGCAGGTTGCGGAGGAATATTTCGGCTAGCACCTCGACTGGAACGCGATTGACGGGACGCGACGCATTGTGCGCCACACGGAGCAAGAACATTTCGTGACGGATTGTATGCACCTGCGTCAGCGTGTGATGCAAGCTCCTAGCTTTATCTTCCTCTGAGATATGGCCTTGGAGGGTACTACTGCCATCGATGACTGTTTTGGAAGACTCCGATGGACAGAAACACGACGGACAATGCCCAGTCCCTGTGCGGAGAGCAGCAGCCTCTTCGCTTATTTGAGTGAGGCAAAGTTGAAGGGCTTTCATCTCGCGTCTGTCGTCGTCCGATAAGACGGCGACTACATATTCCAAGTCTTCTGGTAGACAAGAGCACGAGTGGCAACCGGCATGGGCATGTCTTCGTCTAATCGAGGATCGTATACATCATCAGACCGATGAACCCTGGGTGGATCAGCAGGATCCTCACATAGTCATGGCTTTCATTGCAAAGTTGAGCTTGCTATGCACCAGAGAACAGGGTAAGGAGGATGTCGGTGGATGATCGAAAAACAATCGGCGAGGATCCGGTGCCGGGGTGATTGTGTTCCCACGGCACCCGCTCTGATTCACGGCAGCAGCATCGTGAAATACGACAACGGGATGGAGTGACTACGTGAAGCCACTATTCAGGCAGAAAATTCCCAGTGGCGACCCGCACGATCTCGGGGTGGTGAAGGACGGTGGGGTAGCTGCTGGCGCTGCCTCGCATCCCGGTCGGACGACATCCAAAAATTGAACGAGACGTCGCTGCCCAAACCACTGTACATATGTTATACGATATTCGAACTGGCCGTACCGGTAGTGTGCTATGGAGTCCCCGACTCATTATTTCGGCGATGCTAGAGTTGACGTCGATGCTGGCCGAACACTCCCCAGCTCGGCCACTGCACTTAGATTGCAACAACCACGAACGTTAACCCTACAGAGTGCTTCGCGCTCTATTTCGTGCCAACCTGGAAGTTGCTCTCCCGGATTTCGGGGCTCCGGATCGAATCAAAGTCCGTGTCTACTTTCCACGGTAGCGTTGAGCAAGTTTGCACAGTGTATACTTGTATTTCAAGGATCGAGCCTCAACTTCGATTGCCAACAAACGCGACTTCGCTAGATCCCTCACAGGACTTGTATTTGCCTCGCGCTGCCGACATCGCTCAACAAAATCCGATGCTATTCACCGATTCGCTCGCAGTTGGAAACGTTTTCACCTCTGGCACAACCATTCTCAGATGATCGAGGTCCTTCTCCGACACCTCTGTGCAATGGATGAAAGTGATCGACTTGAATGCAGGGTTGGGATTATCGTCTCTAACTCCGGAGCGACATCGCAGCTCCAACTCCTCTCGACAGAGATCGAACCATCGTATTCCTTCGCCGTCGTACTCTCCGTCTTCAATCTCAATCGTCAAAGACGTGAGGTTCGGAAGGATCCAACTGGGACGGTCATCACGAGACTGGTCTGACGTCCTTATGGCTTGTGAAAACGACATGGTGGCCGGAGTGTAGCGGATGAATACGGTTTGAACTGAACTCCACCCCGCGAGAGTTCTTCGTAGGTCTATCTCCTCGTTCCACGATTCAGGATACCATCCAGAAAAGGAAAGTGTGGTGATCGACCTCGAAAATCGAGGGACTAGCTTGACAAAGGCGTCAAGAATGTCCGATGGACTCTCCGCTTCGAACATAATGGTGAGGGGATAAGGACCATCGTCGTCGATCCACGTTTGGCCGCACTTAATGTTGAAGTGGGGCTCGTCATCAATCAAGTCCAGATGAAGCATGGGCTGTGCAGGAAACAGTCCGTCGACGAGCTGCCACATCTCGCCAACGTCCTCGCCTTCGTCTATTCGTCCAATGATCCTTAGGTACGAGAGCGTCGTAAATTTCAGGTTCTTGAGAATATTCACGCAGTAGCGGACGGTCCCCGAGAGATCGAGCTCTTGAAGAGCGTTCATCACGACCGGCACTTCGCCAGCGCCTTGTTCCCCGTCAGCAACGGCATGTAAACGTAACCGTTCCAGTGAGGGGAGATGTCTGAGGACATCTAAGACGTTTGGTAACCGGGGGGTTGAATATACTCCAGAGTACCCATCGTAGCCAACAGATAGATGTCGCAGCGAAGGGGAATGCAAGATACAGGATTCCCAGAGCAATTTGGAGAGGGGGAAGGTCAAGGTCAAAGATTCCAGTGCGGGTGCGTTCAATTTGCACAGATGTTCGTCGAGGTCTTTTAGGCGCCCTTCACACGACGTCATATGAGGACGAATCTCGAGAACTCGGAGGGCTGGAGCATCGAGACTGAAAGCAGCAATCGAGTTCAATGCCGTCTTGAGTCCCTCGCGGCGGTGATTAGAGATCCGCAGTTCGACAATGCGGAGTGAATGTTTCGAAATTATCCGAGGGAGTAGTGCTTGTGATTGAACAGTGGGCCTGCCGAAATCATCCCAAAAGAGACGCAGAGGATGTTCATTGAAACGTTCGAAGAGACCTATCGCTCCTGCCGGCGTGTTCGGGAGCGTCAAAAACGTCCACAGAGCCGGTGTCTCCAATGCCACCCGTCGCCATCGGCTGCAAACCTGCACCAAGGTTTGCGACCATTTCTGATCCTGACATCCCAGGAACCAATCCGTCAGGGGTGAGATGAAGATCATAACCAATATCTCAACCGGGAGGACGTGGATGGGCAGGGACGCATTGTGTTCCGCGCGTAGAGCCAGCATGCGCTTGCGGATTTCCTCAAGCTGATTCAAAGCAAGTTGCTTGCGCCCTGGTGCTTGAACAGAGTTGTCCGATCTACCATCGGCGTCGTCGTCGCCAACTGCTAGTGAGGGGCAGGAACATGATGGGCAGTGGCCAGAACGGGATATGGGAGGGGAACCGTCTTCCGGGGCGCGATCTCCAGTCAGTTCATCCAATATCTGGGTCATGCAACGCTGCATTTCCTGCAGTCTCCCTTTACGTTCTTCCGATAGCTTTACGAGAAGGTCTTCAAGGTCGCTAGGAGGGCAGAAGCATGACAGACAGCATGGCTCGCTAAAGACAACATCGAAGGTCAAATCAAACAGCTGAACATGGATTGAACAAATACAATCGCTACCTGGAAAAAAGCCTGTCCGCGATAACTCTGGACATTGTCATAAATTTACGAGGTCATGGAGGAGGGAGAAAGAGGTCAACGTGCGTTACGCCTGACGACCTCTGGCGACGCGCAATCACTTCCCACGACAGGGCACCTCCGCAATGACTAGACGTGTACGATTTTCACGCAGGATGAACAGACAGGATTGTATTACACGACGACCTGCAGCACGTTGATGGACTGGCATGATACAGAGGACAGCAGGAAGGATTTAGCAATATAAGGCATACATACTACGGGCCATACTAAGGATCGATCTGCGGTAGCGACCGTTGAGTTTCCTATCCTGGTACGTAGCCATGCTTGGCTCTAGCTGTCGGGTGATACCAGGTGTCCATGTATCTAAAGAAAATGCAAGCCCATATGTAAGTAAAATCGTCCAACCGGCAACAAAAAGATGAGCGCCCACAATTTCGTATCTTTCTTCCGTGCAAGATCCGGTGGCTGCGCCTGCCCGATCATGACTATGAGCTGGCGAGGACAAAAGCCGTAAGACGCTAAAGAACCGAGGTTAGATGTCGAAACCTTGACGGTGACAGGACCTACCCCTCCGTTCGCGAATGTGGAACAATCACAATCCGATGTGTACGCTTAGACGGAAGGTACGCGCTATCTAGGCCCACAATCAGCGTTGATTGGCGAAATCTAGAAGAAAGGAGTCAAACTCACTGAGGGCGGGGAACATGATGGCCCGGGTCCCAGTGTCAAAGGTTCCCGCAGATCCGTCCGCGTTGATGAGCTTCGTGGCCATCTGCGTCGTGATAAGAACCTGCATATATGCTCAGTTATCATGAAATGACTCGAAATAGGGGAAACAAAGGCAACATTGAAGTGGGGGTATGCGTACCGTCAACTTCCTGGTAGCGCAGATTTTCGACAAAGTCTGTTTGATTCGGTCACATATGCTGTTCTTGGAAGACGGGGGGAGCGATGTGTAGGCCGGCGATGCAAAGGGAAAAGAAAGCGAGTTCAAGACCAATAACCCCACCTACGCATGCCGTTAGTCTCCTAGAGCAACCGGGTGTCGGAGGTTACGGCTCACCTCAGGGTGCTCAGTGATTTCCGTTGACAAGTTGCTCATGAAGATGAGAAGGTCCATGAGTGTATGCATACGCGTATATCGAACGAGGCTTCTTGACTCTGCGGGTATATGGGCATCTAACTTGACCAAAGAGACCAGAGAAACGTTAGAAGAGTCCGATTGACGCGCCGAAGCGGCGTACCGATCAGCGAAGTCATGACGGTTGACGGCGAAAGCATGTTTTGCGTGTCTGCGGGTGGACGTATCAGTATGATATGCGTGTGATACGTCGAATGGCGGGAAAACGCGCCAAACGCCAAGGATCGGCTCCGTTGGGTATGTCATCTCGATCGCAGACGTCCGGTGCGCACACCCGTAGACAAGAACACGCCTGGCTTCGTGGAAGTACGGCAAGGTCGACGAACAGGTACTCACCAACAATGATAACACCGTCTCCGCGTTCCACAAAGCCCTTCATCGCGCCCATCGATACATGTTCCTTCATGCTCCCTGGAGGTCCCGAGACCTCCACGACGCCACCGCGCACCAGACCTCCTCCCAATAGACGATCGACAGGCGGGCATCCAGTCGAGTACTTGAGATCGCCTTGCGTGTTTGCCGTGGCAGTAAGCTCTGCAACCGACTGCGTCAGAGGAAGCGAGAACGCGATTGAAGGGCCAGGCGTTGCAGATGCCGGCGTGCTCGCAGGCGGCTCCCGGGCACGGTTGGCGCGCGCAAGGATGTGGGTTGATTCCTCCACGGATATACGTAGATCTGTAGTCCGCGAGGACAGGCACGTCGTCAGTACAGAATTCAGCGGGAACCTTGATATGGGCATGCACCCTTTGCGAGCCCTTCCGGCGTTGCGCCCTGCAGGTCATTTGCAGACTCGTAGCCGGCTTTGAGAAGTTTAGCAAGCGTCGTGGTCGGGATGTTGAGCGACAACATGCGATCCGCCATGTTGGCCTATGTATATAGATGCAGGATATTGCGAAGTGCAGAGCCAAGGGTGTGCGGGTACATGATGGTTCGGGAAGAGGAAGACTTCGAGACGCGAACAACGCTGCTCAACCTGGCCACCTTACATTCGCCATCGCACGCCTCTTACTCTCGAAGGAAGACTTTTACTGTTCATTTAGTCTTTTTCGTGAATGGAGTAGGACTGAGTCCACGGCAATCGTCGCAGCGTCCGCTAACGATCCTCCTCGGCCAATCGAATCATCGCCGCCTCCACCATCTCTTCCACGACTGGGCTCTGCAGCAGCCTCATCGCCGATAATCCCATCCGGGTGGACAATCATGTCCACCTTCCAGTCATGTTCCGCCATCGGGACCGATGCGGCCGGGAGAACTTGTTCGCGAAGCGCGAGGGCCACTGCACAGAATAAGATGGACCCTTGAGCCTCATCAAGGAACTATGCGCAAAGCGGGACTAACCAAGAAGCGGCCTCTGCCGATCGCGCTTGAGAGCGTGCGCCGTACACGCAGATATGAACCTGTCGTAATATCCTTTTCCGTGGCCTAAACGCGATCTCGACTCGTCGAATGCAACACCTTTAGAGCCGGTTAGTAATCCTATGAAAGGAATCTCATGGATCACGCGTACCTGGTAAGACTATGAGATCGAGACCGGCTCCATCTTCGTCCAGGGCTGCTTACCGAATACACATGAGCGACCGAGGCACCGAAATGCGGCGCGAATGAAGTGATAACGCACCACTGGCTCGAGGTCTATCTTGCCATTCATATGGAGGTTCCCTGATGCCCCATACTCCAGTCGGGAGCGTATTGGCATCTTCTACGTCGTACACGCGGAGGAAATCCATCTTCCCGTCGACACTCTTGTCAATCTTAGGCACGAAGAGCGTCTTCCCTTCCTTCACTCAGTGCGTGCAACATGTGATAATGAAGGGGAGCTTACCGGAGCGTAGTACACTCGAGACGATCTCCGCGGTGTCGACTTCGCCCGTCGGCATGCTGAGATAGCAGCTTAAGCCATGGCTACGCTGAAAGAACGGTGCAGATAGGAGCCTTTGCGTGATGGCTTGCGCTAGGACAGAAAAAAAAGGAAAGAAGTCAGGATAATTCATACGGGCTTCGACATGAAAAGATCGCGTACATTGGCACTGGATTTCATGGCCGGGCAGTGAACGGAGAGCAGCCGTTATTGATTTTCGAAGAGCTTTCTTGCTACTGACGATCGCCGCCATCCCCGTCCTGTCGAGATGTCGAGTCGAGATGAGAGTGACAAGCCAAGGACCGGGACGAGGGTGAGAGGCAAGCGATGGGAGTCTGCAAAGTGCGAGCTTTCTCCTAACCATGTCCATCAACGTCGAGCACACAACTTAGCGTACACTAACTCCACTTCGCTCCTTCGCGATGGCTGGAGCGACCTCGGGACCAACATCACCAACGTCGCCGACCTCGCCGTTGGCCCCTTTCCCTCCTGAGCCGTCACCCGAAGACCGGTCTCGCGCACAGGAGTTCTATGGCTTCGTCGCATGGACTTCGACCTATCTGCTTTATATTCTGTTCCTGCTCTGGGCGTTCCTTCCTGATGAGTGGTTAATCTGGCTGGGTATTGAGTGGTATCCATCCAGGTACGTTCCCATCACCCGGGACTGCGAGCGGGGAATGATGATCGATTCATTCGCAGAGAGTGGGCACTTCTGCTCCCCGCCTGGTCCATGGTTCTCGTTCTCTTTACCTATGCCGTATACCTTGCCCTTGCGCTCGCGGGGACACCTCAGTTCTCCGATGTCAGTACGATAACGGGTACGCCCCCCGTTTCCCTGTTCTGCCGCTGCATCTAACGTTTTTTACAGATGCTCGTGCCCAGTTCCTTCCCGGAGCCACTCCAGACCCCTACTTCGCGTATGCATTTGACGACGCGAACCCGGAACGGGCTGCGGTCCCCGAGATGTACGATATTCCCATCGGTCTGGTCAACCGTGTAACATACGCGCGAAAGCCGAACTGAAAATCGACGCATGAAATCGTGAGACATAGAGACAAGACTCGGCGACGAGCGATTGGTATGAAGGACGCTATCATACATTGTTGCTATATTCATGTAGCAAGAAATGGTTAGTCAGTACTCATGGAGCTGGCGCTGTGGGATCCGTCTTCGTCCGTGCTCATATAACTGACGCTGTCAGAAGCACCGTCCCAGTTCAGCGTCACTACCTCCGTAATCGCACTTCTCAACTCGTCAAGTTCCAGGTCTGAAATGCCGCTACACGCGTCGAGCGTGAGCGTCCGGAACACGGGCTCGCCCTCCTCCGTTCGCAAGTCCGACCGCATCTCCAATTCGTCGAGACATAGATGGAACCATCGGCTAGAAGCCGCGTGGTCGGCGTCCTTGATATGCACCGAAGTCAGATTCGGGAGAATCCATCTCGATCGATCCTCCAACGACCCGTCCTGTCTCCAACTGTAAATGGCGGTAAAGAACGTCCTGGTTGCGCTCGTGTGCGTTAAGACCACCGTACGCACAAAGGGCCACCTCTCAAGCGCCTGTCGCAAGTCCATACTGAGAGGGTCCTCCCACAAGGCCAAGAATTCTCCACCGAAGTGCAATTTTGTCACAGGACCCGAGAGCACGGCCGCCACGTTCTTGAAGACGCCAAATATTTCCTCCTCGAGGAGTTGCATCGATGACGCTAAGCTGACGCTCACAGCGTGGGAGTCGTGACGCTCTGGATATGCACCTGCTTCACCACGCATGATATCCAATCGGGGATGAACCTCCCAGAACACCAGCTCCACTGTTGGATGCGCAGGAGTTCTCTCTTCTACAAGCCGCCACAACTCCACAGGATCCCCTTGACATAGTCTGCGGCAGTTCACCACCAGGTACGCGAGTTGCTGCGCGGGTCGTACGTTTTCCATGATCCTGATGCAGCCGCAGGTGCAACCCGACACTTTGAGCTCGCGGAGGGCAGGCATCGTGACTGGTTCCTGCGGGTCGTCCTCTTCCTCGCCAAGACATCCCAAGCAATTGACCAATACCAGTTCCTCCAACGAGGTAAGAAACTCGAGAACGTTCAATATGTCCGGCAAGTTAGGTTTCGGAAAGACGGCATGAGGTTGGATGTAGTCGATGGCCAGATGGCGCAGGGAACGGGAGAACCGGAGTTCAGTTTCCCAGGTGGACGGCGCTAAGGGATAGACCAATGTCAACGAGTTCAATGCGGTGGCGTCCAGCTTGCAGAGCAGCCAATCGAGCGTATCGCGAAGGTCATCTTGATCCACATGCAGCTCCGGGCGAATCTCGAGCGTTCGGAGAGCTGGGGCAACGTGGTTAAAGGCCTCTATGGTACTCAACACGATATCATCGACGTATTCTGTGGCCTTGATCCGTAGCTCGACGATTCGATAGGAGTTGTTAGAGACAATCCGACGAAGATTGTCTGTATACTGAAGCGCGGCTGCGTCGCTGTCAGTGTCGTCGTACAGTACGCGAAGAGGTTGGTAGGGGAAACGTTCGTAGAGGCTCAATGCCTGCGTCGGTGTATCCGGAAGCCTCAGGAAAGTCCAAAGAACAGGGAGACTCAATGCAACGGTACGCCACAATCCGCAGACTCGTGTCAAGATAAGCGGCCATTCTGCATCCGGCCAAGGATCTGTGCTGGTGTCTTGCAGAACAGTTATCGAGTCTGTTTCCAGTTGAAGGCGCGGCAAAGTGAAGATATATCCCAAAATTTCGATAGGCAAACCGTTGATGGGCAGAGATGCATTGTGTTTCGCGCGCAGGGTTAGGAGTTCCGTGCGCATGTGCTCGAGCTGCTGCCTCAGAGACGAAATGCGTTCGCTTTGTTCCGTGCGATACTCCTCCGCACCCAGTCCTTCACCAGCAGGGAGGCATAGACATGACGGGCAATGGTCGAGACCAGGGATGGGGAGAGAAGAAGCGCATATCTGCGCCACACATTCTTCGATTTCCCGCAACCGTTCTTTGCGTTCCCCGGAGAATGTATCGTGAAGGTCTCTGTAATCACTCGTAGGGCATAAACAGTGCGAGCAATGTGGCACGCTGAAGACGAACAGTGGCAGTCAGACCAGATGCGGACGGAGCTCGAGAAGGAGGTTGTCCTTACTATCGATCTTCCATCTTCGTGTCCGGGCTCTGCGACTTTTGTAGCTGTGGTAGGTAGGTAGGTAGATTGCCGACGAGGTCCTGGTAGCGGAACAGCCGAACGTGGTACATGACGAGGGTAGTCAATAGCCTCGCTCAATGGGATATCGATATCGAGGATCCATGTTGCAGCAGCGATGCGTAGATTATAAGAGCTCCGCATAGCACGAGGCTCTCGCTCCCATGGCGACCATCGATATCCCTTCATCCAGAAACGCATTAGAGACGTTCTGTTTCCCAATAATCATTGAGATTCGGTATTGAGATTCGGGCCGGGACCTAGGGAGTTTGCGGGTGGGAAGTATTGGGTTTTCCGATAATTATTGGAACAGAACGTCTCTATTCACCGTCAAAGAGGGTAAGTCATCCCCCATCGCATTGTCATCTGAAGGTAGTGGATACATTACCCAGCAATGTAGAAACATACCGAACGTTGCGGCAAAAGCGATGATTATTTGTGTTGCGAACGGAAGAATACAATACAGGACGGCAAGGCTCGTGTCGAGGCAAAGGATTACAAGGTGCGGTAAACATTGTTGTGGGCTAAAACATCGAATGTCCGATCCATGTCCGAAGACAGAAAAGTCCATGGCACGAATGCAATTATCCAAAGCGTAGAAGCTCGAATCAGAGAGCGATCGAGCTCGTCCAGATCTGCATACGCGTCAAATCAGCGACGATCCTGCGATTCCAAAAGAGAGAGAACACACCTGTTGCTTGTCCGTGCCGGAGCACGCCCACGTCTGCACGTTCTGCAGCGTGCCGTACGGTTTTTGCGACGTCGGCTGGGATCCCGCCACGACGTCGAGGCACTGGTCGCCGTTGTAGAGCGAGACGTGGTTGTCCTCCGTGTACCAGAATGTCTGCTGCGCATTATTGGACTCGCAAGGGGAGACGAAGGCGCCGCCGCCGTTCTGCTGCGTGCCATAGGTCAGGCAGTAGCTAGTCCCGTGTTGAGGGAGGGTGAGCACGATCTGGGTCGGCGCGTTGCGGGTGAGCGTCCAGAGCTGGAAGCCGATGGCCGGGTCGGTGGCGCCGAAGCAAGTGACGCTACAGATGCCAAAAATTCGCGTCAGCGATCTGTTCAATGAAACTTGAAGAGGGGTTACGTACAGAGCTACCGCGGTTCCGGTGGCAGCGTAGCCGTTGGTGACCGATAGGCATTGTCGCGTGTTGCCGTTGAAGTTGAGCTGGGTGCCGTTGCTCGGGGCGTAGAAAAACGTTGCCGTCGATGTCGGGGACGTCGTTGTGCTCGTGGGCGTAGTGGATGTCGTCGACGAGAGAGTGGTGGTGGGGCCTGGGCCAGCATCTGACACGCCCCAGACCTGGTTCGTGTTGCCGGTCGTGCACTGCAGTAGTGGACGAGGTCAGCGGGATATCAAGTAACGATTTAAAGTGAGCGTACTTGATAAGTTTGCGGGGCGCCGTTGCCGTTGGTCTGGTCGAGGCATTGGTTGCCGCCAGTGATGGCAATGCGCTCATCAGCTATGCCGTGTTGTCAGATTCGTCCAGCTGAACGAAATGCGCTCAATGGGATTCTCACCAGTATAGTACCAGCTGTAAAAATGCAAGTCAGTTGAGTATAAGGAGAGACGCAAACGGTTTCAACATACTGTTGCTGGGTCAGACCAGGGAAGCATTGGTAAACTTTAGCGGGACCGTTGTTGTGGGGATCTGGATGCCAGATTTAGCATGCTTCATCATCATTGACCATGCAATATTGACTTACTGGTTCCGGCGTCCAAGCAGAAATTCGTGCCGGCGAGCTGAACGGAGAGGTTGTCGCCTTCAGCGATTTCCCACCGGACGTACTGCCCAATGCGCAAGTTGAGGCAGTCCAAGATCTCCGTCGGAGCGTCGTTTTGGGGGCCGGTGACACCCAAGCACTATAAAGCCAATAAGTATAGGGATTTATCAGATAACTCGTGAGGCACCTTGGTAGTATCTCTGCGGATTGGTTAATTAGTTCTACTGACAGAGCACGAGCTGAACAGGAACACGAACCCGTTGGGGTGAATCAACACCGCGTCGGCACGGCGAAGAGCCGGGCTGGCTTGGGAGAGGAGGGGGAGGACCGAGAGGAACGCCAGGACCGTGCGCATCAACATCGTTGCTAAGAAGAGCGCGGGGAGAGAGATAATCGACTTGATGAGGTTCACCAGAACGACGAGCTAGCACCAAACACGACGTCCCCTGCTTTATATATCATATGAACGCCCTCGGAAGTTCAAGGGACGAAGGCTTCTGCATCGCGGACGGTCTGTTCTGACCGCGTAGCGAAATGCAGCTGCGCGCTAAAGATCAGGAGGCATCAGATGATCCGGTCTCCTTATGAACTCGGCCTCGGGACGCTCTCGTAACGCTCTCGGTCCTTGGGAGGATGCCGCAGAACGCGGGGCCTGAGGTCATCGTTATGTTCAATCACGGTTGCTTGCCGGATGGTGGTGGTGGTGGATTAAGGGTGTAGGAACGGCCCACATACCCCGAAGTTTGCGACAAAAAGGAGAACGTCTCGCGGTCGGGGACGGGGAGCCCCACGTGGTGATCTCGTCCGGAGGCTGTGATGTGGCGCAGCACGGGTGGAATTTGAAAAGGTAAAATACAGACAAGTTCCGCTAGAGTCTACGAACTACGGTGCACACGTCTCTGATGTATGTTCAGGCCAAACAGAGCCAATGAGGTGAGATGAAAGAGTTTTCTCCTTCTTGAAAGCGCGAGGGGCCTAGGGAGTCCATCGAGGAGACCTCATTCTTCCGACTCGCGGGGAGATGTCACCACCTCCAATATCGAATGCGAAGAGCAGCAAGACCTTGTTACCGACAAGAAGTGCTGGTCGCGGGCCCTCGGCTGCGGGCTGACGTCGTAATGGAGGAAATCTTTCCACATGGGTCACGTAACCTGAAGCCTATTTTCCAGATTCGAAGCTGGATCGCGGTCCCTTTCCTGGAGGATATTCGAGAACTGTATGACAGTAGTGCGTATATCTTCATTAAGAAGATCGTACATATGCGTATTGCTGCGCACCTTCTCCAACGTGGCTTCGTCTAATTCACCGAGGCGCTGAATCTACCCTCCTCGAACTCCAGCTTTTGCTAAGTATGTCAGGAATTGCATCACCCTCATCTGGTGCATGCATTTAGGCAGCACCGGGCCTTCGCATGCTAGCGCTCTGCCTTCAGGCAGAGTTCCTCGAGAGGCAGCGAACGGTTCATTGGATGCCGGATGACCTGGTCTTCATGTCCCCGCATTCAGGAATCGTCACCCAGAAACAAGGCAATGGATGAAATCAGCTCGAGAACGTCGAGCTGAAGGTCATGCACGAAGTATCTGTGAGCCGTTGCTGTTGCATAGTGTTGTTGGCGCACGCAGCCGCGATGCCAGACGGGGCCGAGGGAGGTAAGTAAGTAGGTCGGGGTCGGGACGCGCCGTCTGAGTCTGCGTCTTCGCTACTTCGAACACTCGTTGTCGGGATCCTTGATCTCGAGTGCATCGACATCGAAGCTTTTAAGCATGTTTGCCGCACGGGTTGGATTCAAGAAGCGCTCGCTGCGGAAGTCGTTCAGTCTTTCCCCCTTCATGCGTAGTGCGTCATCCGCCATCGCATTGTCATCTGAAGGTAGTGAATAGAAATCAGTAAGTTAGAAACATATCGAACGCTGCGGCAAAAACGATGGTTATTTGTGTTGCGAACGAAAGGATACAGTACAGGATGGCAAGGTTTTGGCAAAACATTACAAGGCGCGGTAAACATTGTTGTAGCTGAAACATCGAATGTCCGATTCATGTCCGGAGTCAGAACGAGGCGAACAGTCCATGGCACGAATGCAAACATCCAAAGCGTAGAAGGTTAAATCAGAGACCGATCGAGCTCGTCCAGATCTGCGTACGGGTCAAATCAGCGATCATTGTGCCATTCCGGAAGAGAGACAACACACCTGTTGCTTGTCCGTGCCGGAGCAAGCCCACGTCTGCACATCCTGCAAGGTACCGTACGGCTTCTGCGACCTAGGCCCGGAACCCGAGACAACGTCGAGGCATTGGTTGCCGTTATAGAGCGATACGTGGTTGTCCTCCGTGTACCAGAATGTCTGATGTGGGTTGTTCGAATCGCAAGGCGAGATGTACGCCGTGCCACCGTTCTGCTGCTTGCTGTAGGTGAGGCAGTAAGTTTTCCCGTGTTGGGGAAGGGTGAGTACGATCTGGGTCTGCGCGTTGCGGGTGAGCGTCCAGAGCTGGAAGCCGATGGCCGGGTCGGTGGCGCCGAAGCAAGAGACGCTATTGGGGATTGCGTGAGCGAGAGGGTAGAGGTAAGCTGGAGCGGAAGCAAAGGGAGACGTACAGAGCTACTGTAGTTCCTTTAGCGGCATAGCCATTGGTGACGGAGAGACACTGCTGCGTGTTGCCGTTGAAGTAGAGCTGCGTTCCGTTGCTCGGGGCAGTGAACGTCGACGTCGATGTCGGGGACGTCGTCGTGGTCGTGGGCGTGCTGGAGGTGGTCGACGAGAGGGTGGTGGTCGGGCCCGGACCGGCATCAGATACGCTCCAAATCTGGTTGGTGTTGCCGGTCGTGCACTGCAGTGGTGGACGAGCTCAGCGGGATATCAAGTGACGATTTAAAGTGAGCGTACTTTATAAGTCTGCGGGGCGCCGTTGCCGTTGGTCTGGTCGAGGCACTGATTGCCTCCGGTGATGGCAATGCGCTCATCGGCTGTGGAAGAACATGAGGAACGTCTTGCTCTAAAAATTTACGCATTGGAAATTCACCAGTGTAGTACCAGCTACGAATTGGAGTCAGCCGAGTATGAAAGATGCGAAGGGCTGTAACATACTGCTGCTGAATCAGCCCGGGGTAGCATTGATAAACCTTGGCGGGACCGTTATTGTGAGGGTCTTGGGCGAGAATGAGCATGCTTCATTTTTACTGAACCACGCGAGATTTCACTAACTGGTTCCAGCGTCCAAGCAGAGGTTCGTGCCGGCGAGCTGGACGGAGAGGTTGTCGCCTTCAGCGATTTCCCACCGGACGTACTGCCCTAGTCGCAAGTTGTGACAGTCCAAGATCTCTGTCGGAGCGTCATTGTTGGGGCCGCTGACGCCCAAGCACTGTCACATCCAATAAGCATGGGGAATGCCAAACAACCCGGGTCGTTTCGCGCCGTACTTTAGAAGTATCCCTGCAAATCGGTCAGTTATCCTGAAAAGACACGAGCAGAATAGGAAAACGAACCCGTCAGGGTGAATCAAGACCGAGTCGGCACGGCGAAGAGCCGGACTGGCCTGGGAGAGGAGCGGGAGGGCCGAGAGGAACGCGAGAACCGTGCGCATCGACATCGTTGCTAAGAAGAGCGCGGGGAGAAACTGAAGCGACTTGATGAAGTTTCACCAGAGCGACGGGGTCACCAAGGATGATTCCTCATGCCTTATATACCATTCGAACGCCGTGAGTAGTTCAAGGGGCTGCTGGCGTCTCCACCGCCAACGGCCTGTTCTGACGGCGTAGGGAAATGCAGCTGCGCGCTGAAGATCAGGGGGCATCAGATGATCCGGTCTCCGTATGAACTCGATCTCGGACCATGCAGGACGCTCTCGTAGCGCTCTGGGTCTTTGGAAGGCTCGAGGCGGATGTCGCAGAATGTGGGGCCTGAGGTCATCGTTATGTACGATCACGGTGATTTTGCCAGATGGGTGCGGAGAATGTGATACAAGGCTATTAGGACTTGGCGGAGGTCCCGAGTCGGATGCGACAGAAAGGAGAACGAGTCTCGGGAACGGGGGTCACGTGGTGAGCTCGTGCGAGGGTGTGGGATGTGGCGCAGCAAGGTAAACCACAGAAATTCCGCTAGAGTCTACGAACTATGTTGCACACGTCTCTGATGTATGTTCTGGCCAAATAGAGCCCCACGAAATGAGAATACTGTTCACAGAGTCTTTCCTACGAAAGGCGAGGGCCATAGTGAGTCCGGAGGGAGACCTCGTTCTTCCAACTTCCGACTGACGCGGAAATGTCGGCACTACCAATATCGAATGCAAAGCGCACCTGCCCCTGTCTTCCGTCCGGTATGGAATGACCGCATTCCCATCGTCCCATACGTGCAGCTTGATGTCCAGGAGCCGAAGTCACGGCAGACGTCGGGAGACGATGCAATCAAGCTAAAAAGGTTATTGGCAGCAACCGCGTTCGCATATCCCAGGAACGCGCGAAGGGCATAAATGCCCTTGCGCGCGTCAACGTCTGAATCGGACCGACTCTGCGCGGGTCGCTCTTCAAATGCTGCCGGATGCGCCTGTGTTAAGGTGGAGCCGCCCGATCTCCATTATTGCGGCAGTGCAGAAGGTGCGATGCCGTACGGCGAAGAGGTGGATGGAGGAACTCACGCGAAGCCCGAGACCTCCGCAAGCAAATCGCAAGTCGGAGATGGTAGCACAACGAGAACCCCAATCATCGCTTGCTCGTGATCGCAGTGAGACAGGGGAACCCCTACTTCGCAAAGAGACCTTCCTGGCGGGCGGGCCATATGTACGGGTGAATCAGGGCAGAGAATATGGAAGCTCTTCATCACAGCTGGATCCGTCGGCCTCGAATGACGAGAAATGCCGATGGCCAGGGTTTCTGTCGATGCCCCTCGCGAAGCGCGGAGTCTCCTTGTACCGTGTAACAGACCTGAGTAGAAGTAAGTAGAATCGTGTAGAACGCACCCGAATAGCGTAGCTTATCGTAGGATAGCGTCGCATCTGCATACGCTGACTCACCTGACTCATACTCGCAAGTATAAGATAGGCACTTAGCGCGCCTCTCGAGCTCTCGGAGCTCCCGTGTATATCTTAGATAGTAATCGATTGAATCTATTGCATGCTTCGTTGTATGAAGCATCTATAGATAGATTGAATACTTACTGAATTAACTACCGTCTTACTCGAACTAAAGGCCTCGCCGACTGATCAAGAACCTTAAGATTATCTTATCGGTAATCCATTAGATTAGATATCTATCTATCTACTGCTACCGTTACACTTGGTGACCACCTTGGTTCAGTCGATCGGGACTCAAACTTACTTGCGCAACACATCATCGAACTGTCCCGAGGGAGATTCGATCCGAAGACATCAAAACATCTTTTGAATATCAGCAATACGACATGTCAAACACTGAGAACCGCTCTGAGCGCGGATTTACATCCTTCGACATACCTGAGCCGCGAGATCGCGAGGACGATGCGCCGCAATCACAGCAAACACATATTTCTGGCACGCCTCTGGATAGAACTGTGCCCCTGACCGATCCTCCTTTGAGACCTCCGGGTCTGCCGCCCCTTCAACGGCCTGATACAGCTCCACCATCGCCGGATTACTCGTATCTGAGGGTACCAAGACGTGAGATGGAACGACTCTTACATCCCGACAACTCACGCGATTCGAATCACGCATTCTCAATGATCCTAAGGAATATTATAGTAGATATCTTCGAAAAGAATCAAAAGATCGAATCAGCGGTGGAAACAATGAGCAAGAAGATCGATTCACTTACTGAGGATGTAGGAAAGCTTTTGAAGAAGCCGGCAAGACCTACGACGATATACCACTCAGCACCAGAGGCACACGAAAAAGAAATGAGAGACATACGAGAAAAACTCGAGGAACTGCGAATTCGACAAGATCGACACATCCTCACGACGATCGAAGCGCGCGAGGACGCTAGCAGGATCCTAACGACTATTCAGCAACATCAGGATACCCATAGAACACAAGAGGACGTACCAATACACCGAGCAAGCAATATTTCGAATGTATCAGAGTCCCAACGCGATCCGCACATACATCGCGTCGAAACACCATCGTCCGATGACTCTACAATAGCGGAAGTAGAGGATCCTATAGGGCGAACATATTACGGCGTTAACGAGACGCACTGTCACTGCGATTGTACTCGCATCCTTCCAACAATTTCGACTCACCTTGACCAATTGACTCAGTTAGTACACCATCAGAGCGACATGAGAGACCAAGACTCCGACCAAGCAACACTAAGATGGGCCGATCAAGCTGAAATGAACGGCTTCATCGGAGAAAGCCTGACTCATCTCAGTCAAGAAATGTCGGAGGTAAAAGACGCTCTCGCAGATCTGCAGCAGAATTGCGCGAGAGTCGAGGATATCGACGAGATCCGAGCCTCCCAAACTGAGAGACAAAGCCAGAGCAGCACAGTACAGCACAGTCAACCGCCAGTACCGACGGATACACAAAGAACGCAGCGCGAAGAAGAGGAGCAGCATAGAAGTTCACCGCACGTAGTATTCTCCAACTTAGGGAATCAGCCGGCACACCGTGCCGACACCATCGGCAACACGGAATCAGCGCCGCTGTCACAGCCGACGACTCGGCGAAGCGGTGCCGACGAGCCGGCACGACAGCCGAACTCCGCGACACCGAGCTTCATGCCATTCACGCCGTATTTGACTAGCACGCCGCGAGGACAAGCTCTTGTTACTCCAGCAACTAATATGCCGACATCTGCTTCGTTTATTACTGGTCTGGACGATGGCCGCGTCAAGCTCAAGCCTAATGATTTCCCCAAATTTGGAGGGAAAGACGAAGACATTGACCGATGGATCGAGCAAGTAAGTACAATTAAGGATCTGGCTCGAGCTGACGATGATGCTCTGCTCCGAATAATAGCTCTGTTGCTTAAGGGAGACGCTAGTAAGTGGCTCACTACACTATCTTACGCTGAACGCAGCCGCTTGGTTACCTGGCAAGACTGGCAAGACGCACTTCGTGCAGAATACCGGAAAGCGAACTTCGAGACTCACAAGGAGGAAGAGCTGCGGCAGCGCATGTGGTATCGCAACGAAAGCTTCGCCGAATACTATACAGACCGACGATCATTACAACGGTATGTACTGGGAGAACGAGCTGACGATCAACGATTAATTAGTGATATGATGCTCGGCATCCCTCAATCGATGCAAACCCTCATCAAGACGGCTACCGGGCAAGTTCTTAATAAGAACTTGACAATTACTGAATGGAAGCGTTTAGTTATCGATGCAGAACCCGGTCTGATCGCTCAATATGGTCATTTGCGTCCCTACAAGCCACGCACCGATGCTGAAAGAAATACGAATCAGTCTCGGGGACCGAGACCCTTTTACAGAGGGGGGTACCAGTCGAATACACCGTCGAATTCCAATCCTAACGACAGATCTTTCACGCCGTCATCTCAGAACACTCAAAACCGAAGTCAGGGACAGGATAGCAGGAATTCGACACCTGTACAAGCGTCAAGAGGAACGAATACACGACAGGATCAAGGTCAGAATAGAGATTATCGCCCTCGTAACGATAATCGAAATCCTAACGCATTCCGACGAAATGACAGATACAGTGGAAACCAGCGACCTCAAAATAATAACTATAGGAACAATAACCAAGGTCGCAACTATCCCGCCCGAGCGAACGTCACTACAACCAATACGGAGGATGGTTCAACTCAAACAGCTTCGAATAATATCACCGTTGGTGTGTACAATCAGTACGATTCCGAGGAAAGCGAGCACTATGCTACCTCTAACCTTGCAGACTGTGTAGAAGTTCTACAAGCTGAACCGGTCACTCGAAAATCGTCACGCATCCAGCAGTCCTCAAACAATCCAATTTACAAGCTTACTCGTTCACGAAGACCTAACAAGGCTCGCATTGCATCAGACGCAGCCACAAAGGGCAGTGAACGTCCAGAACACTCCGAAAATGGAATTCAGGCTGACCAGATGGCTTTGGAGAATTCACAGGACGCAAAAATGACTGTCGCTTCGGATCCAATGGACATTACTTACGAAGACAAGACACCAGCCTTCGTACTAATCTCTATTGAAGGACAGGATACATCCAGGGTATTCAAGGGATGCATCGACTCAGGTTCGTCAATTAGCATGATTGACCAAGAATTTCTGAAGATACATTCGCCTTCGACTCGATTACAGACATGCTCGACTATCAGAGTGAATGGCATAGGAGGCAATTCATTCATCACCTCCTTTGTCACCCTCAACATCGCGCTCACTGATCTAGCAGGCCACATAATCCAATATCCGGCCAAATTCTATGTTAACCCGGCGAGTACTACGAAGATCATCATAGGAAACGATTTCCTAACGCATTACGGAGCTGTGATTGACGTAGACGAAGGGCGTCTGAAATTACGGAGGGACTCATCAAGCAAGGCTTCATTTAAGCTGGAATGTAAGCCGTCTTTGCCTCCGGATGTTAAAATACTGAAAGCTTTACCATTCGAGGATATCACG